GCAATCGTGTGGGCTTGCAAACACTTTAGGCCTTATCTGTATAGACGCAAATTCACGATCTATACGGATCATAAACCACTCACTTGGCTTTTCAAATTGAAGGAACCAAATTCCAAATTAGTAAGATGGCGACTAAAATTAGAGGAGTTTGATTACGACATAATTTACAAAAAAGGAAAATATAACACTAACGCTGACTGTCTCTCGAGAATACCAATCAACGCGATCGAAACTGACGACATATCTATTGCTAATAATCCTGGTGACATCGACAAAGACATAACAGACTATATTCAATCAATAGAAACAGGACCTTGTACATCTGATCCAATTGACGTAGGAAGACAAGATATATCTGAATTTTTGGAGACACTTGAACAACACTTAGAACAACCACAAACTTCGACTGATCAAAACCAATATACAAATTCTTTCTGACGTACAAATCAATCCTCCTCTTGATCAAAATATTCCAGATAATGTTTCGACACAACATTCTGACGCGAACGAAACTACGAACGACGGTATAAAAATCTATGACGAAATAATCAATAACAAATTAAACCAAATTTTAGTGTTTCCAAATACGTACCATAAAATAGACATTAAACGTGAAAATTACGAAAACTACAAAATTATTACTGTTAAAGTCCCTGAAGTCGATAACGAAAAGTTAATTTTACAATTCCTGATAGAAAATACAGAATCTAAGAATGCGTATTCACTATATTTCCACTCCGAAAACCTGTATAAAGATTTCTGTAAGGTATACTTGAAACATTTCTCAGAAAGAGGCCCAAAATTAATCAGATGTTTGAAAAGACTGAACACCATTTGCGACAAGGAAGAACAACTCATGTTGATAAAAAATCATCATGAGGGAAAGACAAATCATCGCGGAATAAACGAAACACTCGAACGCTTGAAGAAAAACTATTACTGGAAGAACATGAAACAAACTATAACAAATTTTATTAATTCTTGTGAAATTTGTCAAAGATCCAAATACGCAAGAATAACCCCTTATGTACCGCTAATGCTAACTGAAACAGCTTCTCGACCATTCCAAATTGTTCATATCGACGTTTTTATCTTTGATGGAAAAAATTACTTGACATTAGTCGACGCATTCACGAAACTGGCCCAAGCAATATTCATTCCCGGAAAAACAGCTATCCACATTAGTAAAGCTCTGCTAAAATATTTCACATCATTTAGCGTACCTCAGACATTCATAGTTGACAATGGAACGGAATTTAATAATGAAACCGTAAAAGAAATCCTCAAATTACATAAAATCAACGTGCATTTTACTACACCCACGCATCATGAATCAAACTCTCCAGTTGAACGTTTTCACTCGACAATCATAGAACATTTGCGAATTCTGCAAGAAATGTACCCGGACGAAAGCAACGACCTTATGGATTACGCTATACTAGGCTACAATAGTTCTATTCATAGTTCCACCGAGTACTCGCCTTTCGAACTCACTTTCGGTCATACAGATTCGAGAAATCCAAACGAAATTTTTATTCCCAATCTATTTTATACTGAATATGCTGAGAAACACAAAGAAAAACTGAAACACGTATATCAAGTAGTAAAAGATAAATTAGAAGATAAAAAGCGCAAAATAGTTTCGAAAAATAATACACAAGGTGACACAAGCTCTGAATTTCGTTTAGGTCAAACAGTATATAAAAAGAATTCGAAATCACGCAATAAAAGAGATAAAAAGTTTATAGGCCCATATGAAATAACGAAAATGCTAGATAGGAACCGTGTAGAAATAAGAAATAAGTATCACCCTAACAAACAAGAAATCATCCACATAAAAGAATTGAAAAAACCTTCTGTTGTTACAGATCCACCTTCTGTATCATCTACGGAAGACTAGAACCCGTCAAAATCCATAACCTTAACATAAATCCTGGAATCCTCACATTGAAACTTGGCAACACACAAAACAAAATTGACTCTTGGACGTTTATACAAATTTATGACATTTCAAATATAATTGACGAATTCATGACTCTACGAAGTACTTATTCACGAATAAAAAATGCATTCGAAAACTCTACACATGGACCTGGTTACGACAAAGAATTCCATAATTCCCATCATGTTCTGAGTATATTGGAAAATAAAATTCTTACACAAATAAGTCAACTGAATCCACAGTGGAAAATGAAAACGAGACGAGCTCTTATAGATGGACTCGGTTCAGTTCTTAAAGCAATCACAGGAAATCTCGACAGTAGCGATGCTGAAAAATATGACAAAGCCATTTCATCACTATCTGATAATCAAAATAAATTGAAATCATTGATTGGTAATCAAATCACTCTCCTGCAAACATCCATTCAAAAATTCAAAAACGATACCGAAATTCTTGCTCACAATCAAGAAGTAATGAATTCTCGAGTAAAGGAATTGCAAGAAATCATCAAAACCATCCACATCGATAATGTTCAAAATTATCATTATTTTCTGTTACAAACAATCATTTCACAGTTCATAAATACCTTCCAAATTATGTATGATATACTGGAAAAAATCGAAATAGCAATCACTTTTGCAAAATTAAACACGTTTCATAATTCAATCATCGAACCAATCGAATTATTTGCCGAAATTACTGCAATCAGTAAACACTTGAAGCAAAATAGATTTCCTTTTGAACCATTAGTAAAAAACCTACTTTTATTCGAAAAAACAATGCAAATTAAAAGCTACAGTAAAAGGAACGAAATCATTTTCATCATAGAAATTCCAATCGTAGAAGCAGATGATTATAGTTACTATCATTTATATCCATTGCCAACTCCTACAGTTAATTCCTTCAAAACTATAATACCCCACTCGAAATTCCTTTTATTGAATGAGCACAACTACGCCTTTTCGGATGTTAAATGCCAAGAAGTCACCCCCGAAGAGTTCCTGTGTCAAGATGTACAAACAACGAAAATCGAAGACAGTATTCCTTGTGAGATCCAACTACTCAAATATTCAACGAACACAAGCTGCAGACAGATACCAGCCGAAATCAAGAAACCGAAAATCCAGAAATTAGAGAAAAATCAATGGATTGTTATAACCCCCGAAAACATAGTGGCTACCCAAAAGTGCGGTAAAAATAAAGACAATATTCCTCTTAATGGGACTTATATCATAGAGCTCAACAATCTCTGTGAAGTTTATATTAAGGACATTGTTTTAAAGACATTCGAAAATAGTGAACCCAGTTATAAAAATATCGAACTGCCTAATATACAGACATTTCCGGACACTAATGTTGAAACCGAAATTAGTTTTCAGCCATTGCAGTTAGAACACATCAATCTAGACGACATGGATGGCATCTACAACATTTTGGAGGACCAAAAACAACAGCTAACCAACATCGACAATTCGACGTTCCATTTCAACAAAATTAGTGTATATACGATATTTTTGTATATATTGATTGGTATTGGTATAGTCTACATACTACGCCGTCTCTACATGAAGAAGATGCTCTCAAGAAATTCAACCCTGAACGAGGTGCTGAGGATTCAAGAAACAAAATCAACCCCCGACGTCAGATTTTCATCGAACTCTGGTCCAACCCCATAGTTCTCAACTAGCGCCGGAGGAGTTACAGACACTTTCCAGCTTATTTCGACGAAACTGTAATCTTTGCAAACTCATCATTAATGAGTTTACGTTCTGTAGCATTTCATATATTTGAATTCAGTCTTTGCCTGTTGTTTGTCTTGTTCGCAAGTAAATAAAGACCCTGTGAAAGATTTTTCGTTTTTTAAAAAGCTTCCTTGCTGAAAGTAACTTGTAACTCATCTAATGAATTTCAATCGTGTGATCCTCATTTTCCAATATATATATTTTTTTCAATATGATTTTCTTCTTCAATATACCTATTGGTTTTTTTTCCAAATTATTGGAAAAAAATAAAGGACCCCGCACGAAAACACGGTAAGTTGGCTCTCGGTCGAATTGGCTGAAATTTTACTATGTTTTTGTGGGATGGCTCATTAGAAAAATATGTGAGTTTAAAAAGTTTTGTATGTTTAGTTTCTGATATATAACCGACAAAGTTCGTAAAAACGTCGTATCGGGGTAGGATTGACAAAGAAAAAAACTGTTTTTTTAGTGTATAAATGAAACAAAATAAGCTAGAAAATATATTGATCGGAACTCATAAACATGTCTAGTTATAATGACATAAATTATAGTAAATCAGGGTGTATACGAGGCACGGTCAAAAAATTCATTTTTCGGAAAAAAATTCGAGCACTTCCAAAACCAACAAGTTATATTTTGGTGGGATATTATAGTTTTAGTCTATTGTAGGCTTCCAAAACGTATTTTGATTCTTGATAACTATCTCTGTTCGGAATATGAGTTTTTAGAATTTTGTGTTATACCCCTTTTTGAAACCAATTGACAGCTTGTTTTTGATCACAAAGGGAGGGATTAATTGATACTGTTGATTGAATGAAAGCTGAGGTAATTCACTAGCTTATTCAGTTGTTCAATATTGCCTTTCATTTAGATACAGGGTGTGTTAGATTTTGTTGAAGATTATTTAAAATGTTTCAATTGAATATATCGAAAACAGTTCCGTCAATTTGGATCTACTCACACTATTTTGAATATGTTAACTATCATATGCAAAATGTTTCTCAATTTTTTATGTTTCGTTTCTGAGATATCAATTTTTGATAGTAATATCCGAGGTAATAACCCTATAATACCTGTAATACTGTAAACTCAAAAATGCACATCTCAGAAACAAAACATAAAAAATTGAAAAACTTTTTGCATATATATTTTTCTAATGAGCCATCCCACAATAACATAGTAAAATTTCAGCCAATTCGACCGAGAGCCAATTTACCGTGTTTTCGTGCGGGGTCTTTTATTTTAATTGTGTGACCCCTAGACACTTTCGTAAGAAACACCTGTTTATCGAAAAAATTTTGTGTTTTATTTTCCAGAGGGTGTATTACCTTTCACTGGAATTCTACATGGGCCGTTCTCTCCAAAACACCATGATCAACTTGGGAATCCAGACGTCAGTGGACGAAGCCATGTATCAGTTGGGTTTGGATATCGAGGAATTGGAAGAACTCGAAGAAGATGCCGGTCTCGGCAATGGCGGGCTGGGCCGATTGGCTGCTTGCTTCCTTGATTCCATGGCTACTCTGGGTAAAAACTCAATGAAAAAAATATCAATGACATGAAAATAATAATAGAACTTATTGCGCAGCAGGTTGTCCTTGTTGGAACTGAATTTAAAATTTAAACTTGTCTTGTGTTTTTTTCCAATTGGAATAATAAATGTTGATATATAGATTACCCTGTAGACAACATGGAACAACACTGTTTTACCACTAACCAAACCGATTTTTTAACGCCTCGACAAGTGTTTCGCTAACTATGTTAGCATCTTCAGGAGAAGATTAAAACTAAATATCCTATTCTAGTGTGCTGCTTACATATTAGGTATATGTTCACCCAACTGTGAAAAATACTAACCGTCAAGTTAATGTTTGTTATTTCACTAAACTATATAGAGGGCTATATGGAATAGGTCCATTATCCTTATTCATTACTCTATTACTATTCTTTGATATCTCCAAGCTTTCATATGCGTCTAGTTTTCTAATGTTATCAACTTGCTTAACTAATTTGAGGTTAGTAATATGTGTGTTATGATTGTGATTGAACATATGTTCAATGTATCTATATGTTCAATCACAATCATAACACACATATTACTAACCTCAAATTAGTTAAGCATGTTAATAACATTAGAAAACTAGACGCATATGAAAGCTTGGAGATATTAAAGAATAGTAATAGAGTAATGAATAAGGATAATGGACCTATTCCATATAGGCCTCTATATAGTTTAGTGAAATAAAAATTAAGATTAACATGTGAACTCAACCATGACAAACATTAACTTGACGGCTAGTATTTTTCACAGTTGGGTGAACATATACCTAGTATATAAGCAGCACACTAGAATAGGATATTTAGTTTTAATCTTCTCCTGAAGATGCTAACATAGTTAGCGAAACACGTGTCGAGGCGTTAAAAAATCGGTTTGGTTAGTGGTAAAACAGTGTAGTGTAGTATCGTGCCAAAGGTTCCAGTCTTCGATATAATATGGAACGAGTTCAAAATTGAACAGTAGTTTGAGGTAAATTTATAACAAACGTTTTGAGCTGAAAGCGTCATATGAACCATGACAATTGAACAATATGTTTATGTTTAATAATCAGCTACATTTCTGCCCACAATAGTTTTTCATCATGAAGATATCAATCATGGTGCTTTTTTGACCTTCGATAATGTGAAAACAATTCTTTTCAACCATCATTATTTGCAAAATTGTGTTGAAAATTATGGATAAATGCATTGCTTTAGGATAATAGTTGTTAATTTTGCTAACTCTAGTTTTGGTATCTGAATCTTTATGTTCAACACTATCTTTTTCTTATATGACTATAAAAAATGAGTTATGTGGACTCATTCCTAAGAGAACTCGAATGATATCTTATTTGGAAGGCTGACCAAAAGTACAACACCAACTCGTAAAAATTGCGTGTGAAACTCCACATTGAGAATTAAAAACGAGAGTCCAACAACCATAACTTGAGCTCTTTTATTTGTTTAAATAGGCCACATCATTTTTTTCTGGAAGTTCTTGAAAAAATAGGCCTTTGCTTTCAGGACTATCCGACAAAATTTTACACAATACGCTCTAGTAATGCCAACTGGTTTGACTGAAAATATAAGCACTCATTTTTTTTTAATAACTGTGTATAAGTTATGTTGAGCCGGTTTTGTATGCGATTTTGAACTCGGGCGTTATAATCTAGGTAGAAATACCTTCAAAATAAGATATCATTCTCTTTTCATTTGAATATTCACGGGTCCGAGCGTTTTTTCTAAAATGACCTAGTGTGCCCAAAATCGGCTCTGTTTCGTTTTCACATGGCCACCCTGTATTTGTTTTTTTTATCGGCTTGGTGCGCATGAAAGGGAATCCCTAAATGTTCTAAGAACATCGCGCGTATCTAGGGAGGATAGAGAGAGGAGGTAGGTGTTGGATTTTTTTTGAACTCCAGGGGTTTATAAGTTCTTTGAAATACTTCCTCGGGCAATGAATTCCAGAGCTTTGCCGTTCTATAGAGAATTCTCGTTTCCACTTGAAAATCCAGAATATTTCAATTCCCCGACTTTTATGACGATTAGCAACTATTCTTCATGTACAATTTTTTTGAAATGAACTCTAATGTTCGGTTTTTCTAGATATTTTTCCTACTCATTCATTTTCGGTTCGGAAAAAATTCAATCATAGGTATAATTTGCAAGAAACACATCCAAATTACATAAATTCTTGAACAACAAACTTTTGCAACATTTATTTGCTGGCTAATGTGTTTCAAAAACCGATCATTGTATTTCAGGAATGGCGGCGATCGGCTACGGCATAAGGTACGAATACGGCATTTTCGCTCAGAGGATCATCAACGGGGAGCAGCACGAAGAGCCCGACGACTGGCTGAGGTACGGCAACCCGTGGGAGAAGGCAAGGCCCGAGTACATGTTGCCCGTCAACTTTTACGGCAACGTCATCGATACTGCCGAAGGCAAAAAGTGGGTCAACACGCAAGTCGTGTTTGCCCTGCCTTACGACAATCCCATTCCCGGTTACAACAATAACGTCGTTAATACGATGAGGTTGTGGTCTGCCAAGTCGCCGGTCGATTTCAACTTGAAATTCTGTAAGTATAATTGTTTTGGAATACGAGAGATATAATACCAATCAGAAAAAAATGAGTTAGCCATTGGATATGAAATGCAATTGCAAAAAAAAATAATAATAGAGGTAGGTATGTGCAGTTTGTACCTTGTACTTCAAGAAAAGGTTTTAAAGTAGTTGGTCACAGTAGTGAACCTATCCTATATGTTTGTAATCACCATTCTAAGTTTTTCAATAATTCTTCTACGAATAGGAAAGGTTTTCGAGTAGTCAGTGACAAAACTGAACTCTGAATTTTCATACAGTTGGAAGAATTTGTAGTGCAAAAACAAAGAATTCACTAACTTGTTATACGATAGCAAGCACAAAATTGATGTTGCCGAGATAGCAAGAAATCCGACCAGATGTCATTGAAATTGACAGATCATATTGCCAAAAATCGATGATTAGAATTCCACTTTTTCGAATCTTGCTATGATAGCAATATCTTCTCCACAACCATATTGCTATTTGCAAACAGAATCGACCCGAATATCATTCATTCCCCAAACTAGGTTATTTTTTATTGCAACGTCATCGACAATCCCAAAGGAAAGAAGTTGGTCAACACGCAAGTCGTGTTTGCCTTGCCCTATGACAATCCCATTCCCTGTTACAACAATAACGTCGTTAATACCATGAAGCTGTGGTCTGCCATGTCGCCGGTCGATTTCAAATTGAAATTCTGTAAGTATAATTGATTTTGGGATACGAGAGGTTCAGAACCAACCAGGAAAAATGAGTTACGGCAATCCCATTCCCGGTTACAACAATAACGTCGTCAATACGATGAGGTTGTGGTCTGCCAAGTCGCCGGTCGATTTCAACTTGAAATTCTGTAAGTATAATCGATTTTGGGATACGAGAGGTACAGAACCAATCAGGAAAAATGAGTTAGCTATTGGATATGAAAGATCAGAGGTAGGCATGTGCACTGTGTACCTACCTACAAAATAATTCATTCCCAAAACTAGGTGATGTTTTACTGCAACGTCATCGACGCTCTAGAAGGGAAGAAGTCGATACAATGAGGTTGTGGTCTGCCATGTCGTCGGTCGATTTTAACTCAAAATTCTGTAAACATGAATGATTTGAGCTATGAGTGATACAGAACCAATACTTTGTATTTACCAAAACTAGGAATAATGGGTTAGCTATTGACTATGATAGATCAGAGGTTGGTTTGTGCACTGTTCACCAATGTACAATTTTATTAATTCCCAATACTTGATGAATTTAATGAAAAATCTGGATATCTTTTACGGCAACGTTATCGACATTTCCGAAGGAAAGAAGTGGGTCAACACGCAAGCCGTGTTCGCCCTGCCTTACGACAATCCCAATGCCGGTTACAACAATTACGTCGTTAATACCATGAAGTTGTGGCCTGCCAAGTCGCCGGTCGATTTCAACTTGAAATTCTTAAGTATAATTGTTTTGGAATACGAGAGGTATAGAACCAACCAGAAATAATGAGTTGGCTATTGGATATGAAATAAAAGAGGTAGTTATGTGCACTGTGTACCTACCTACAATATAATTCATTCCCAAAACTAGGTTATCTTTTACTGCAACGTCATCGACACTCCCGAAGGGAAGAAATTGGTCAACACGCAAGTCGTGTTCGCCTTGCCCTACAACAATCCCATTCCCGGTTACAACAATAACGTCGTTGATACCATGAAGTTGTGGTCTGCCAAGTCGCCGGTCGATTTCAACTTGAAATTCTGTAAGTATAATTGATTTTGGGATACGAGAGGTACAGAACCAACCAGGAAAAATGAGTAAGCTATTGGATATGAAATATCAGAGGTAGGCATGTGCACTGTGTACCTACCTACAATATCATTCATTCCCAAAACTAGGTTATTTGTTACTGCAACGTCATCGACACTCTCGAAGGGAAGAAGTCGATACGCTGAGTTTGTGGTCTGCCATGTCGTCGGTCGATTTTAACTTAAAATTCTGTAAACATGAATGATTTGAGCTATGAGTGATACAGAACCAATACTTTGTATTTACCAAAACTAGGAATAATGGGTTAGCTATTGACTATGATAGATCAGAGGTTGGTTTGTGCACTGTTCACCAATCTACAATATTATTAATTCCCAATACTTGATGAATTATATGGAAAATCTAGGTATTTTTTACGGCAACGTCATCGACATTTCCGAAGGGAAGAAGTGGGTCAACACGCAAGCCGTGTTCGCCCTGCCTTACGACAATCCCATTCTCGGTTACAACAATAATGTCGTTAATACGATGAGGTTGTGGTCTGCCAAGTCGCCGGTCGATTTCAAATTTGAAATTTGAAATTCGGTAAGTATAGGTAATTGATTTTGGGATACGAGAGGTACAGAACCAACCAGGGAAAATGAGTTTGCTATTGGATATGAAAGATCAGAGGTAGGTATGTGCACTACCTACCTACAATATAATTCATTTCCAAAACTAGGTTATTTTTTACTGCAACTTCATCGACACTCGAAGGGAAGAAGTTGAAACGATGACGTTTGCTAAGTCGCCGGTCGGTTTTAACTTGAAATTCTGTAAGTATAAATCTTTTGAGCTATGAGTGATACAGAACCAACACTTTGTATTTACCAAAACTAGAAATGATGGGTTAGCTATTGACTATGATAGATCGGAGCTTGGTTTGTGCACTGTTCACCAATCTACAATATTATTAATTCCCAATACTTGATTGAATTACATGGAAAATGTACGTATCTTTTACGAAAACTTCATAGATTTTCTCGAAGGGAAGAAGTGGTTCATCACGCAAGTCGTGTTGGCCCTGTCTTACGACAATCCCGTTCCCGGCTACAACAAGTCGTTGATACGATGAGGTTGTGGTCTGACAAGTCGCCGGTCTATTTCGACTTGAAATTCTGTAAGTATAGGGGTATAGAACCAACTAGAAGAAATGAGTTAGCCCTTAGAATTGAAATATCAATACTCCCGAAACGAAGAAGTGGGTTAACACTCAAGTTGTTTTCGCCTTACCCTACGACAATCCCATTCCCGGTAACAACAATAACGTCTTTAAAATGATTAGGTTGTCGTCTTCCAAGTTGCCGGTCGATTTTAATTTGAAATTCTGTAAGTATGATTGTTTTTGAGCTATGAGTTCATTCATTAATCTGGGTTTGGCGTTTAGGATCAATGACGAATACTTTTCATTGATATATGAATGACTCGCGGTGTCTATCTATTGTAATTTATCCTGAGTATACTAGAGTCCCTGACTGACGGTCATCGTGTCCTTGTTCCTTGCAGTCAACGATGTCGATTTCATTCAAGCTGTTCTCGACAGGCCGAGAACATCTCACGTGTCTTCTACCTCAACGACAACTTCTTCGAGGGCAAGGAGCTGCCCCTCAAGCAGGAGTACTACATGTGTGCCGCCTCGTTGCAAGACATCATCAGGCGATTCAAGTGCGCCGCAGAGTTATCCCCATCTTTCGTGATTTCATTCATAATTCTGTGTTTGGCGTTCAGGATTGTTGCTGTATAATTCTCAATGATTTATGGATGAATCGCGGTGTGTCTATCTATTGTTATTTATTCTGAGGATAGGTCTTTTTTCAAATCTTGAAGCCTACGAAAGGAAATTCCTAAAGACGTCTCGAGTTCCTATCTGAGAATCATGGTATTTTTTTGTCTCACAGTCAAAGATGTCGTTTACATCCAAGCCGTTCTCAACAGGAACCTGACCGAGAACATGTCACACGTCCTCTACCCTATAGTGCCTCGAACATCTCATTTCACGCCCTTTAAAGAGTGTGGACACGCTTGTCACTACTGACAAGTCCGAATTGTCATCATTCCCAGATTTGAATCATCAGTCCTGCAATTAGAATAGGCGTCCCCGTGAAAATGTTTTCGAGTATATTTTGTTTGATAACAAATTGCAAAAATTATAAGAATGATGGTTAACATCTGTTTGAGTTGCCGAAAAACGAGACGACATTTCAAGTGTTCGGCTTCGAATTCCCATATTCATTTCATGGGAATACATTCATTGACTTGATATTGATATAACTACACAATGAGCGCATTACGTGCCTTTACACCAATGTTACGGTTTCAAAGAAAAATATGTCTGCACTCGTTCAATGAAGGGGTACAGAAAAATGGCATTCCATCTCTTGTAAAACATATGTGTGGCTCATGATTTTTGTTCAGCTGTTTAACAATATGACAAGTGTGTCCACACTCTTTGAAGAGCGTAAAATGAGATGTTTGAGGCACTCTACTCTACCCCAATGACAACTTCTTTGAGGGCAAAGAGCTACGCATCAAGCAGGAGTATTTTATGTGCGCCGCCTCGCTGCAGGATATCATCAGGCGGTTTAGGTGCGCGGTAGAGTTATTCCCACCATTCACGATTTCATTCATTAATCCGTGGTTGGCGTTTGAGGTTGTTGGCGTATACTTTCCGAATAATGCGCGGTATCTATCTTTTGTTTTTTAGTCTGATGTTAGGTCCATGGCCTGAAAACGTCTCGAGTCCCTAACTGAGGATCATAGTTTTTTTTCTCTTCCAGTCAACGATGGCGACTACATCCAAGCCGTTCTGGACAGAAACCGTGCCGAGAACATCTTGCGTGTACTCTACCTCAACGACATTTTCTTTGAGGGCAAGGAGATGCTCCTCGTATATAATCAGGCGGTTCAAGTGCGCCGTAGAGTTATCCCCATCATTCACGATTTCATTCATTAATCCGTGGTTGACGTTCAGGGCCGTTGGCGTATACTTTCGAATAATGCGCGATGTCTATCTATTGTTATTTAGTCTGATGTTTGGTCTATGACCTGAAAACGTTTCGAGTCTCTAACTGAGGATTTTTTCTCTTCCAGTCAACGATGGTGACTACATCCAAGCCGTTCTGGACAGGAACCTAGCCGAGAACATCTCGCGCGTCCTCTACCCCAACGACAACTTCTTCGAGGGCAAAGAGCTACGTCTCAAGCAGGAGTACTTCATGTGCGCCGCCTCGCTGCAGGACATCATCAGGCGGTTCAAGTGCGCCAGCTTCGGTACGCGCAAAGCTATCAGGACGAACTTCGAACTGCTGCCCGAGAAGGCGGCTATCCAGTTGAACGATACGCATCCGTCCTTGGCCATTCCGGAGCTGATGCGGATCCTAGTGGACCTTGAAGGTATGTGAAGAAGAAGAGATATGCTTTAGTCCAAAGAAGTTATTCTTTCTATTCTTCTTGAGTATTAAAATGAACAATAGTAAACAAATAAACAATAGTAACATCAACAGGTAAGAGTATACAAGAGACGTAATTTAAAAAGGGAATATAGTCTACATAAAAAGAAAACAGGAATTAGCCTATGCATACAAATCCACTAATGCTAATGATACTTAATTTCGTGCAAACTAATTTGTTTGAATTCGTAGCAGAGTGTTTTCAACTATACAGTCATCATCAGAGCATATTCGTCAGGTTTACAAGAAATATATCGATAAAAATATCTTTGGTCCGTTTTAGTTATATAAATATCATGGCTAATTATGGTACATATATATTGAATTTTTTTTCCCAAACTGGAATTATTCCAAGATTACATTTCTTAAACAGGAACAACTATCATGTCGATATCTGTTATATATTGATTGTTTTTCAATTCCAAATGATTCCAGATAAAGATAAATGGATAACTATTTTTCAATGAATGTCATAGAGAATATAAATGTTGACAGAGTTAGATATACTATTATTATTATTATTATCATTATTAATCTGTAGTATTAGCCAGAAGAGTAGTTTTGAACCATGACAAACATTCACTTGGCGGGTCGTTCACAGTTGGGCGGACATATTATTATACCTAGTATATGAGTAGCACACAAGAATAGGATATTTAGTTCTAATCATGTCCTGAAGATGCTAACATGGTTAGCGAAAGAAGTTTCGAGGCGTTTTAAAAATCGATTTGGTTAGTGGTAAAACAGTGTAGTGATTATTTATTATTTTGGCGGTCTTTGAATAGTGTCGTAGAAAAAACATTCATTGTACGATCATTCAAAAACTGATCCACCCATGCCCCTCCAAGGTCTCTCATGAGACAAAGCGTGGGACATCTCCGTCCGCACGTGCGCCTACACCAGCCACATCGTCCTGCCGGAAGCCATCGAACGTTGGCCCGTCTCAATGCTGGAGAACATCCTGCCGCCACCTGCAGAGCACCTACCATATCAACTTCTTGCACATGCAGGACATTGAGAAGAAGTTTTCTGTTTCTTACCTTACAATCTAGATGGCGTTAGTCTCGTGTGGCCGACCTCTGCCCACGGGAGATTCCTCTGAGACTATAAATATTGCAGGCGGTCTTCGGACTGCTAGCTGATGAGAGCCTAAAAAGCTAGAAACTGGTCTGTAGTTGTTGTTGTTGTTGCGTCAACCTGGCTAAATTGAATTCAATCGGCATTAGGGAAAGAAACACTTGCATTAGTATTCGTTTATACTTATCGATGCATAGATTTCGGGAGGATGTAATTCAATGTTCTGCGTGGCATTAGCCAGAAAAGTAGTTGTTTTTCTCCCGTCACCTACCATTATTGTTCATTTTATGAACATTTGTGGAAATGCCTGGGCTTTTGTATGTATTTAATCTCCTTTTTGTTTTCCAATGATTTCTCAGTATAAGCAACGCATATAAACGTGGAATAAGCTTCTGCTACTGATGAATATTTCCATCCAATGTTGCCTCATAGTTGTCAGATTAACACAACTGTCTGCCAATGAATTGGCCAAATAATTGCGAAAATAATGCCCAGTGTAGATCTTCGAATCTGGCAGCTTCTTGTACTCTTCCTTATACTTGAGAAAAACTCGACGATGTTCAGTATCTGCTGGTCTAAAGGTTAGATATTTACGGTAAAAATTTGAATGAAATGGTTCAGGTACAGTGAAACCAAGTGAAACCTTGATTTTTGTATCCGGTATGTTCACTAACGATGTAGTTTCCATATCTTCAATGTTGTTGAGTATTAAAAAGCACAGCTCCTCTCTACAACTTCCAAATATACCAAATATACTAGCTACTTCCATCATAAGATAATCATTTTCTGGTTCATTCCTGAGAAGCTACTCGATATCGTCTTTCGTCAAAATCATGGACTTCTTAACCTGGTAACCTCTTCCTTTTTGCTTCAAGAAAGCAATGAGTTTATGATGTTAGCAATCTTCTTTAACCGTAATATAGTATTTATTATTGAATAAAGACCTCTTCTATACCTCAGATCTCTCCTCGAAATATACCAGAAATAAATTTTCGCTCAAATTTTTGGAAAAACATTTGTCTTCGCACCACTGCAGGAATTTTTTGTAAGCGATTTGGTTCTATTGTCGGGACTTTTTCCGCAGCAAATTTAAAGTAGCTCTACCCGCTGCTTCATTTATTTCGTAAATAGCATATAAATCAATACATTATTGTATGAATCATGTGATCCTAAACTTTGTGATTATAATTCTGATTCCAGATATTTGTTATTTATTATTTTGGTGTTCTTTTGTGTGTCACTAGAAAAACATTGCATGATTATTCAAAAACTGATCCACCCATGCTTTCCCAAGGTCTCCCATGGGAGAAAGCGTGGGACATCACCGTCCGCACGTGCGCCTACACCAACCACACCGTCCTGCCGGAAGCCCTGGAACGGTGGCCCGTCTCGATGCTGGAGAACATCCTGCCGCGCCACCTGCAGATCATCTACCACATCAACTTCCTGCACATGCAGGACATCGAGAAAAAATGGCCGGGTGACTTCGACCGCATGCGTCGCATGTCGCTGATTGAGGAGGACGGGGAGAAGCGGGTCAATATGGCGCATCTGTCGATCGTCGGGTCGCACGCGGTCAACGGGGTGGCCAGGATACATTCGGAGATCATCAAGGCTGATCTGTAAGTGACCGCTCGAATCGACTTTTTATCCCATTCATTTATTTCAACGGTTACACCATTTTCATTAAAAAAGGTAACAAACGATGAATCAACACAAACAATAAGATTTCCACAAAATTCTCAAACAGGACATGTTTCGCTAACACAGTAGCTTCGTCAGGTCATATACTGGTATGATGAACTAAACAAACCTTGGCTTGCTTATTCTTATATCCTACTTTCCCAACCTGATGGATCAGTCACCTGTTCGATAAACCTCCATTTTCGGACGGTGTACCGGATTAACTTGAAAGGGTTGGTATCAAATACATATTAATACTTACTAAGCAAACAAATTCAACAGTGGTGAACTATTGAGGTGACGATGAATAATAATATGAGCAATGCAAATTTACACTCATAGAAATGTAGCACTTTTTTTTTCGGAGGTGGTCAAAATCCTTTATGGATACCACGAAGGACCATTCCCTTCATGGTAGTGTGGGAATCCCTTCATGTAGGTGTACCCACTGAACACTCCACCTCCTTTCAAGGCTCGTCTCACCGAAGTCTCTGATGACACTTAGGCTTGTTGGCCCATTGCACCATTGTACCTCAAACATGCCGTTATTAATTTTACCATATACGACCCATGGTTCTTATATAAGAGCCACTTCAAATGTCGCCACAGTAACTGTGAGGACTGCTGTCGAATTTTGATTTCCCGCAGAAGAAATAAGCAAAATAAATCACTCAGTTTAATTTCACCTGTCCGGTTGTTTTTGTGTCTCTTTGTATGTGTGTCTGTCTATCTGTAATCTCATCTTGCAAGTTGAATATGACACACACTTCTAATCGTTCGATTAGTTTGACATTTGACAGGTGTTCATAATTCTGGTGGCAATGCATCATGAAACTTTTGTTAGACCAAAAACTAAATGGCTGCTGCAAACTGGCGGACGAGTTTGGTAATTATGATCTGATTCTATTCAAAATTGGTATCTGGGGGTTTTTGGGATCGGCAATAATTATGATTGTAATGTCAGAATTGAAAAGTTCAAGATGGCTACTTCAATATGGCGGAGGAGCTTTGTAATTATGATCCGATTTTATGAAAAAAAATTATCTGGTACTTTTTAGGGTCGGAGATTATGATTCTTTCGTGAAAATTGAGAAATTCAAGATGGCGGATTCAATATGACGAACTAGTTTTGTAATAATTATTATGATCCGATTCTATAGGCGACTGAGATTAAGATCGTAGCGCCAGAACGGCGAATGTCGGTACTACTCTATGGGCCATTGGCGGATTGTTTACATTGTTTGGTAATGGTGTTTATGTTCATTTCGTTTTGAGATTTCAAACGTCCAGCTTTGTTATTTGTCTATTTTCGAACTTTGTATTTTCCAGCAGTCTACTGTGTTTTTATTGAGGACTGTATAATCTCTGTTCAACATTAGATAACCTCCCTACCACTAGTTGAACTTCATATATACCAACATGCATAGGCTGTAAGTTTTTATCATTATTGAACAATAATTCTCATGAAAACCTGTGTGGGATGTTGATTTCCAATTCGAATATATAGCTGGGATATTCCCCTGATAGTGCATGATATTTTTAAAACAAAATCCAGCAAACTTTTTGGGAATAAAGTGTTCTTTGGAAGGTGAATTTAGGTAAACAGTTTCTACTTGACTTTTTACAACATAATCATCGAAACCCTGCTTGATAACATTCTTCAACTGTTTAAAAATTCTACTGTTCATGAGTAAAGATATAATCAGTTTGAAATTTGTTTGTTCTTTTACCACCACCTCAAGAAGTAGGTATTATATTCATAATAGACATATACATTTGAAAATATACCTATAGGTATGAGTAAATTTTCAGTGAAGTGTAAAGAACAATATCTCATTATGTTCAGACACTTTACACTTTTTCCAATCTTCAAGTTATGAATCCACACCTTTCTCCTACCGATCACTTCCTTGTTTCCCAAATTATTAGTTTCAAATACAAATTTAGACTGTCCTGATTTTTGAAAGGAATGAAAGCTATACTCGGGATTTTTTTGCTCAAGATGAACAATGAGGTACACAACAATGATGACTCATGTTTTTAAACGTTTATAGAAGTTCTCAAACAAAATTATAGACAATTGAAACACAACTACTTCTCATACAAAATACACGCAAACTAATGTAAACAAAGCAATCAATGGCCCATACGTTAGTTATATTAGACAACGGTAGAGGGAGTACTCCTTAGCATGAATCGCCTAGGATTCTTCCTTCAAAATTGAGAAATTCAAGATGGTGGCTTCAAAATGGCAGATGAGTTTAGTGATCATTTTACGATTATATTCAAAATTGGTATGCGGGGGCTTTTGTTGTGGTATATTATTAAATTACAAGCTTTCATCCAGTTTCACCTCTACAGGTGTGTGTTACGGTGTGTCAGGGTGTGTGTGTGCATTTTTATAAAACCTTGTCTTTTTGAAAGGGTTTTTTATAAAAGCTCCTTAATTAGTTACTCTGAGATGTGCACCCACTTCTGTGCACTTTCTTAACAACTTGAAACGCGAAAAAAACAGTTATGTTTTAAAAACTGCTGAAAAACACACCTGGAATACACCCTACCAACTTCCTTCTCCAGATTCAAGGACTTCTACGAACTGACCCCGGGCAAGTTCCAGAACAAGACGAACGGCATCACGCCTCGCCGGTGGCTGCTGCTCTGCAACCCCGGCCTCAGCGACCTCATCTCCGACAAGATCGGCGACGACTGGATCGTGCACCTCGAGCAGCTGCAGCAGCTCAAGAAGTACGCTAAGGACCCGAACTTCCAGCGCGCCGTCATGAAGGTAATTCGAGAAAATCATGAAGCAATTGATGGCGCTAAGAAAACATCAGGTTTTTCATAAGGATCCAATATAAATTGGTCGTTTTAAAATGTTTTAGGAAACCAAATCATCAATCTCAGATATTTCTTAGGATGAGCTGATTGATTGTTTTCAAAAAGTTTTTACCATTGCCCCTACCAGATCACTGGAGCTATTCAAGTACTTCCATTTCTTCATTTCTTATCACTTCCTACCCCTCATCTATTTCAGAAATTGAATATGAAGGGTAAGAATTTTGAATATGTTGGACTGAATTGGGGAATGCATGAGACCTCTTGAGGTGCTTGATAATAAATCAATATTTATTTAGGAAAACTTACAATAGGTCGGTTCGTCAATCTTGATTGAGATGAATCCTAATGTTCTTTTATTAATTACTTTAGTCAATAAATAAGGGGGTGTAGAGGACATGGAAGAGGACAGAATTTTTGAAACAAGAGATGTGTTTGGAGTAGATAGGAATTAAAATTCCAAAAGTCCCCGAATCTAAAAGGTGAGCAAAGTGCAGGGGGTGACGTAGAAGGTGCCTTTTTTTATGTATCGTTCATATCTCAAAAACGGTACGTCACAGCGCTATCCTTGGTATAGTTTATCCAAAAACATTGAAGAGTCTCGTGCGCACCTGCACTCATTTCAAAGGGAACTTCAAACACGCCGACGCCGCAAGATGCGAGATTTTCTGCAATTGATATTGGATAGGCTATACCTACAAATCTCTCTCAGAATGAGATCAGTTACTCTGTATATTTGTATAAAAAATTATGTAGTGTGTGTCGGCGAGATGTAAGCAAACCAAGAATAGTTTGATAGCAATGTAACGAATGTTCGCGAATTCAGCTCCACTTTGTTGAGTAACGTATTTTCGTGTTGTATTTTTTTTCACCGAAGAAGAATCTAAATGACAAATTTCTGAAAAACTCTTGCATATGAGTATGCCTCTGTACATCGCAGCGATGTAACATTCGTAATTTCACCGTGTTTTTTCATAGCTACATCTCCGAGATGTCATGTCGCAGATGTGTCTGGTTCTGTATATCACAGCGATGTATCATTCGTAATATCTTAGTGTTGCCTCATCGCGACATCTCAGAGATTCCATGTCACAGATGTGTTTGCTTATGAACGTCGCCGCGATGGAACGTTTGTGAATAATACTTGTAGTTTCTTGATGAATAATACATGTGGTGTACCACAAGGGTCAGTTTTGGGGCCAATTTTATTTTTAATTTACATTAACTCAATATCTACTTCGAAAGATTTCAACGATATCCATAATGATATTAAAAATGATTTGAAACAAATATCATCTTGGCTAACGACCAATAAGTTGACTAAGTCATGGAAACCATCCATCCTTCTCAAAGTGGTCCAGATTTTTTCAAAGAAACTCAGCAAACTTATTGTTCGTCTGTAATTTCATCTCTTACAGGTACTTTATTCAATTTGTGTCTGAAGATGGCTGTTTAGCCGAAACTAGTCACTAGTAATTGTGTAATATAATTTGTGGTCGACCGACTTTGTGTATTTTGTTTTTTCTTTGAATAAGTTGACTCTTAACTATAGTAAATCTACGTATATGTACATCTCAAGAAGAACAACGGACATATTGAATAATACCCCAATATGTTTCAATAACAAATCCATTGAATATCCAAATGTAAAAAAATGTTTCGGTCTTTATATTGATGAACAATTATCGTGGAAAAATTGAATCCTATTGCTGGTATTATATATAAAATTCAAAATTTCATTCCTGTTAGATACCTAGAGTATTTATTTCTGACTGTTTTATTCAAATTTACAATATCTTATATCTATTTTGGGAAGTACAAATATTTCACGTTAGAAGCCACTCATAAAATTACAAAATAAAACAAAAAGATGCAGTTTCTTTACCTTTTTTAGAATCAACTGTAAATCTATACAGACCTAAAGACTTGCTGAATATAGTTTCATTCCATGAACTCAAAATTTGTTGTTTTATTAATTTTTTCAGGAAGGAATTGAAAATATCAAATTTGAATTTTAATGAAGGTAATACGATTCACGCCCATGAAACAAGGCAATTTAATTTATTGATAGCAAATAATTATTAGTCAAATTCTTGTAAACAATCAATATTCCATAATGGAATAATTTTATATAATTCCTTGACTAATGAGTTGAAAAATATAGAAGAAGCAGAACAATTTTAAATCAATTTGAAGAAATATCTGCTCAGTAAATTTTAATTCCATATCTACTAATCATTCACAATTTGATTACTTGAAATGGATTATAATTTTTTCATTTTATATTTCATTATATTTTTTTTATGAAAAACAATAATTGTGCAATTATTATTGTTTTGGTTTATTATGTTATATGTTATGTTTTGTTGTATATATTCCTATTATAAACAATAATGTTTCTTGGGCTAATAAAGACAATCAATCAATCAATCAATATCGCACTGTTACCTAAACGCGACATCTCAGAGATGCCATGTAACAGATGTGTTGGCTGAGAGGTATTAATGCTTGTTGACTCGTTAAAGGTGAAGCAAGAGAACAAGCTGCGATTGGCGCAGATCCTCGAGAAAGACTACGACGTGAAGATCAACGCCTCCTCGATGTTCGACATCCAGGTGAAGAGGATCCACGAGTACAAGAGGCAGCTGCTCAATTGCATGCACATCATCACGCTCTACAACAGGATAAAGAAGAATCCGTCGGCCAAGTTCACGCCGAGGACGGTCATGATAGGAGGTAATATTAAGATACATAGTGGAATAACTGACCTGATCTGGAATTGAAATTTTTGCGTTCAACAATTACACTGTTACTCTTCGGTAGAAGTCCATATCGCTCAAGGGTGGAATGGAATTCTCGAGGAACGGACGGAAAGCTCGAAGTCATCTCCACAAAATTGAATGATGTTAAACAATCAGGGACATGTTTCGGTTTTAGAAAATATCATCTTCAGTCTTATTAAAAGTTCTACAATACAAATAAAATGTTGGTATGAAAGGAATAACAAACAACCAAATACTGTTTCCCCTTCATACCAATCTTTTGTGATGACTTCAAGCTTTTCTTCGTTCCTTTGAATTACACTGTATTGTTATAGACCTCGAAAGTTTTTAATACCTTTCAAATGTGTTTTTGTTGAAAATTAAGAGCCAATGCGCTGTTTCAAGTGGTGTGATTCGAACAGACCGTGACAACCTCCCCAAAATTCGGCGAACACGTTGTTTGGAAATATGCGAGTTTATCATCCACTATATCCGTAATACTAATCAATAGTTGACAATTGAGCGTAATGCATATTTTCATGCCATGGAAAAATACAGGCAGCTAGCGAAACAGATTCCACTTTGCTTTGAGAAAAATTAAACCTGACCTGAAAAAAAAACATCATTAAAATAGCGAATCACTATGGGTCTCAACAGTAAATGCCTCCACAGTACATTTTTCAGGGAGGAAAGAAAATGAAAAATGAAGAAGGGTAGGTTGAGTAGGTATTTGAACCCGGGATATCTCCACCTAAACGCACGTATTAAAGTCGCTTATTTCTCTTCATAATATTGACATCACACATAATCACACACATTGTATATATAAAAGACTGTATAAGTTACAACAACTGTTTAGACAAGATCCTCCGAGTATGACAGAGGTGGCTGGTGCTGGCCAAGGAATGTGGGTGCATATATGAAGTGTTCGTCACAGCGACCTATCCCCTAGGGCTAAGCCCTTTATATAGAAAATCTTACTGAGGATACCCAATGGGTGGGGGAGCTGTTGTGTGTGTTTTTGGAGGAAAATGAAATTGAAAAACAAAAGCTTCCTCCTTAAACTCACGCACGTAGCTCACTTGGCTATCGCAATTACAAAAATATGTACAAAACGAGTGGTCAACGTTATGCGCATGCGGAAGTCTCAGAGCAAAGTGGAATCCGTGTCGCTAGCCACAATAAGAAAAAATGGCATAATATGTATCAAAGCATTTTGTGAGTACCTTTCACTGATCTAATAATATTAAACTGCAAGATAGTGCTTTGAGAGAGAGGAATTGATGACAATGTAGGAGTGAGATGCAAAATGCATGAAATCAGCTGAGGTTTGGTGCATATTTCGCCGCCATGCTATGTAAATGTGATACTGCGAGCTATTTTCATTCGAATTTGGACTGTGAGTTCATGTACTTGAAGACTTTTGTGACTGAAGTTCACCAATCCATCAGTGTGTTAGAACAGAAAGACTCAGAGTTTTGTTTTTATAAGACTAACAATATTTAATTTGACTCGTTGACATTTCAAATCAAACATTTATTGCGCCTAAAGGAAGATGTGGAAAACCAACCACAAACCAACCAACGAATTCGACAAACCTCAGAGAAGCAAACAAGCAGCTACCAGCTGATTGGATAAAAATATATTTGTTTTTGTCGCACATGCAGCCATAGATGGTCCATTCTCTTTTTCACTTGCATTTCAATACATTGTACAGGACGGTAAGGCTAGGACGGATGCAGTAGATGAATATTGATAGATCATTGGTACCTATTATCGGCGAGACCTTACTACATGCTGTGTGACTGAACATTCGGTAAATATCCGTTGGTGACTCGGCAACTCCGCTTTATAACTACTATAGAAGTGATCCGATCGAGCCACGTTTCACACTGAATATCCTTTGGGGGTGATAAGTAACGCGTATCATACACTTATAAATTGCTATCACCTGTATGAGTGTACAATACCTACTAAATTTCATCATTTTCAGCATAACATTTTGATTTCAATAAAAAATTCAAGTCATTTCATTTTGTGTCTTGTGATTAGATACCTGAGGATGCCTTAATGAAATGAGAACATAACACATTGAAAAATACTATTTCCGACAATGAATAGAACATCTTCTACTCGAGGAAACAAACAACTTAGTCGCTGAATTTGAGATATGACGTAATTGAATAGTGTTTTATATCGAATACCCTACTTTTTTCTCAATACTATTTATGGAATATAGGGTATAGGTATGCTTGACGAATGATATTTATTGTTTTCATTTCAAAAATGTATCATAGATGACATCATATCTTCCAAATGGTTCATCCTCTATGAATGGAACAAGTCTCAGAACCTCAGATGAACGAATAGGGTCAACATTAAAAACTTGGTACATGTGTGACACAAACAAACTGTCTTAAGCTGGTGTGTATTGTGGATGTTGTGATATAATGGATAGGCGCCTTCAATATGTGCTTTCGATAATCAGTATTTCTCTGATTACAACAGCATCCATGTATCATATTGTTAGGTTAGGTTAGGTATTCGTTCATCTGAGGTCAGGACGTATCTACCGAATTCTGAAAACTATTTGCGCACTTCGGCTTTCTCATTTTCAAGCTAAAAAAACACCTGATTTTGAAACAAATTAATGTATATTTCCATCAGGCAAGGCGGCGCCCGGGTACTACACGGCCAAGAAGATCATCAAGCTGATCAACCTGGTGGGCAACGTCATCAACAACGACCCAATCGTCGGGGACAAGCTGAAGGTCATCTACTTGGAGAACTACAGAGTGACGCTGGCCGAGAAGATCATGCCGGCCGCCGATCTGAGCGAGCAGATCTCCACGGCGGGGACTGAGGCCTCCGGCACAGGTATTTTGATTTTTCCTTGGTTGATATGACATTCGTTATGCCGAAAGAAATGTAAAAAAACGAATAACATGGTCAAATCAGTTATGTCTTTCCACTGAATTCTTGTATTTATATCGAATCTGGCAACAGCCGATCTAAATTCTAGTTGCGCAGAAGACTAAAACGTTAATGTCATTCGTGGCAAAGTCACTGAATCCCTACAAATCAGAAGGGTACCTCTCCCATGCAGTAATGAATTTGCGCTTTCCAAGTACCCACCTCATGTTGAGTTAGATGTTAGAGGTAGAACTGATCGGTATACTTTTTTTTTTCACTCATTCAGCCTCGCTACAATATCTTTTCTGTCAATGGAAGAATTGCATGTAAAGTTCTGCATTGAGAGTATAAAACATAAGGCGGCTCAAGTCTTACCTTAACTTGAGTTTTTCTATTTATTTACATAGGCCACATCATTTTTTCAGGCCACTTCCGAAAAAATAGGCCACAACTTTTAGGAATATCCGGCAAAATTTGGGACTTTGGACTTTGACATTGAATACACGTTTTTAAAATGTTAGCCCTCATTGAAATTTCACAGTTCTCTATTGACATTAAGAAAAAACAATTCAAGTCAATATAACTAATAACCTAATTTCAATCACAAATTTCTTGAGTCTCCTAAGATATTGAAGAAAACTTTATAAGATTGGAATGTAAGACGTAAATGTGTTGGCAGTGACCATATGAAAATAAATGATATTGAATATTATCATGACCAATCAAAACTAATGTGATTGTTGGTGTTTCCATTGTTGTATTTTTATATTTTATCATTATCCGATTGTATAAAACAAAATTGTGGTGTTTGTTAGTTTCATTCAATTTTTCAAACTTGATAGTGTTTATAATTAATAATGTACATATAATAGTGATTATTTTCATCGTATGATTTTATACCAATCAGAACGTTCAATTGAGTTAAGCTAACTTATATAATTTCGAATATACGTAGATATGCATAGAGTAACTCTACCAATCAAAAATTTTGAATTATTTCCATAGTAACCACTTCAAATTGTTACATAAAAACAAAGCGCGTCGTAATATGTTGACGTTCGTTCAGAACTACTCAAAAAATAATCGCATCAAATACAATTCGTACTTCAAACTATTCAAGGTTATACATCTCAAAGTTCTAACAGAATAGTCCATCCCGCTTCGCGGTCGGATTATTTCAACTGTCAAACTGACACTTTGTAATTATGCAACAAGTTATCGATGTATAACCCGAAAAATTTGACGTACTTATAGTAATGCTACTGATTATTTACTCTTACACAGTCAATGTATATGTCGTATATGAACATTTCCACGTGGTTCCATGGTTCGAGTTTTTTGTAGACTTGATGACAATGATGACAAATATTTTGGCAGTTTTGGTAGCACACAGCATTGAATCGTCAACCTGTGTTTTAGTACAAGTCTCCGAATTCTAAGAATAAGGGGAGTAGTGTAGCTTTGTTTCATTTTCTTTGACCTGACTATCAAGTCTACAGACTAACATTTTCTAGAAATTTTCCATATGAATTTCAATGAAACAAAAATTGATTTCAAATCAGCTAATAAATTCATTCAATGCCTCAAAACTTTACGATATGTCTGTTTGTTGCTAATTTCCTATCCTTTCTTTGAGCAATAGATGTAGGCTTTTTGGTTTTTCTGCTTTTGCAAATATTTTCTATACTTCATTCCACAGCCGTAACTGTAATGGCTTGGGATGAATATAATCAAATCTCGTTGATTACGAGAATTCCTCTTGTATATAATCGTCTTGTTTACAAATAATTTGTATCAAAGGAGGAGATGGAATGATTAATTGACAGAGTATTACATTTGAAATAAGAAAGTTGAAACGCGTTTTTGATACATCGACGCGACAACTCAGTACCTACCTATCGATTCAACATATTTCAAAGGATTAAAGCCAGTTCGTCTATTCAGGCATATACCTACAGATTTTCAAAACGACCTGTCTTTCATTTCCTGCTCAGATTCTTCTAATACTCGATCCTTGATCAATGAATCTGAATATTTCATTCATCTTAAAATCATCAAATAGCCTGACCAATTACAAACCAAAGACAACGAGTAGTAGCTGCCTTTCAATCCTGATGTTGTGGTTGTGAAAAGTATTAATGATAGATTTCCATACAATCATCTGAACCAGGCAATATTGTTGACATTGTGCACATGATTTAGACCCTTCACCCCTTCAGGATCTTGCTTTGGTCATATGGACTGACTACCTTAAATGGACTGCTAAGAATACGCCAACATCAAACAAAGAAGGCAATATACCTGCATCTCAGAGAGGCCAAGATCATTACTGCGCATGTCATTATTTCAAGTTGAATAAGGCGGGAATTTTTAAATCATAGCTGCAATCACTCAACTTCACTCAATATATAACGAATATGTAGATTTTGTGGTTCAAAAATGATAGCATTGAGGACTGAGGTAGTTATTACTGTTTTAATCTCCTCATGTCAAGGCGTTTCAAAAATAAGATTGTTCAGTGGCAAAACAGTGGAGTGTTATAAGCTCTGTTTTCCATAAAACCATCCAGAATGAGATTCTCTATCTGAGGCGAACACTCCTTGTTCTTTTAGTATAATATACCCTAGTCAATCCACTGCGCCTTAGCAGTCTGGTCTTCAGAAAAACCAAAAAATAATTCCTATCTATGAAAAGATATTAATTATGTCCATTGAAGTTCCTGAAGTATAATTTTTGCGAATATGTAGCAGTGAATGATATCGCAACTTGTAATTCTGTATTAGGGTAGAGCTGTCACTTATCTCTTATTGAGGATACTGTTAATCGTTCCAGCCCATGCTTCTAGTAGTGGAAGTCAAAATTTTAGTTCAAAAACGTTATCAAACATCCAACTGGACTGAATTCCGAAACAAATATTCTGTGAGAGGTATTTACCATCTATATGTTTTCATGTTTCTGCGTTTACTACTAGCAATCCATGTTAGCGGACTTCCTCTGGTGGTATCGAAATGAAGCGGTTATAATTCTTGATACTTATATTAAGCTTCTAGTTCTTGAGTTCTGTGGTAGACTTCTGGGAAGTATCAGAATCGGCCGCTGCTGAGGCGAACAGGGGAATGAATGGCTTCACGCAACCCGGCATTTAGTCCAATCAAATGGTACCTTTACTTGGAAAAAATTCAAGTAGTCGGTTTCTCTGTGGTTTCATATGTTTTTGGAGGTGCTGAATTCGAATCGAAAAATTTTCTGGAACGTTCCGAGATATTCGCAAAATTATACGTTATATCGAAGAAATTTCCTATATATAAATGTTATTGCTCAAGAATGTAGGACTAACGAGTGCGTACTTCTCAAAAAATAGCGTTTCTCGTTGGTTTTCGGAGAAAATTACAATTCCACGCATTCCTCGAAGAAACGAACTATACTGCCTGATGTGGAAGAGACCTAGACATGTGAATTCCTACCTCTGTCAGCATGTAACTCATGACTCTCGACTTGTCACTGTACTTGTATATTCAAATGAACAGTTCATTGTACCAGTATATCACCTGACGAAGCTACTGTGTTAGCGAAACATGTCATGTGTTTAATAAATTTTGTGGAAATATTATCGTTTGTGAAGTTTTTACAAGAACCGCAATTATTTGAAAAGAACACAAATTTGGTCAATTTTCAACTGGCTCTATTTTTGCACCCTTCAGTCCTACATTCATGGGCAAGAACAATTTTATCTAGGAATCTTAATCTACTTCAACTTTTTATGGGGCGGTCCTCTCGATATAATGTATGATTTCCGAGTTACGTTTTGCTTATTTTCGAAACGCTTCAGGAAATTTCGTTTGCAAAATTCAGATTCGAATTCAGCACCTCCAATAACATATAAAACCACAGAGAATCCGACTACTTGATTTTTTTCCGGATCGGGTTCTAATTGTTACCGTTTTACTGAGCTAATTCTGTTGCAGGCAACATGAAGTTCCAACTGAACGGCGCTCTCACGATCGGCACCCTGGACGGAGCCAACGTCGAAATGGCGGAGGAAATGGGCTCGGAGAACATCTTCATCTTCGGCATGACCGTCGACGAGGTGGCGGCGCTGGGCGCGAAGGGCTACAACGCCTACGACTACTACAACGCCAATGCGGAGCTGAAACAGGTGGTCGACCAGATCCAGAACGGGTTCTTCAGTCCCGGCAATCCCGACGAGTTCAAGGATCTCGCTGATATTTTGTTGAAGTACGATAGGTTCTATCTGCTGGCCGACTATGACGCTTATATCAAGAAGCAGGATGAAGTTAGTGCTGCATATATGGTGAGTTATTCACTTGAAATAATGATTTTTTTTCTCCAAGCGACATAGAAAATGGACTTTTTCTGCATTCGACATATTTTAATACCAAAATTAGCCGTTGAATTGACGTTACTCTGAAACATAGGTATGTTGCTAGGAACTAAAAAGAATGTACTAGAGGTCATCAAGAATAAAAATTATTACGGTTGGTTATTTGGGTTGGGACGCATACCTGATTCGTTCCCGATTTCGGCAGATTTGGCAATTCATATCCATGCTGGAGATATAAATAAACCTTATTACAGTAAAGTATTTTTGTTTTGATCAGGAAAGCCTTCAAGATTCACAAACTTCTTGATCTGTATTTGATTCATTATTCTCGGGATGGATAACTTGTATTTGAATAATCACGGCCAGCAATAGTTTTTTGTCTCAAACAACGATATTGTTTACCTTCATCTGATTATCAAGCCAAACACAGTGGACCATGGAGAAGTTAATAATCGCTATTATTATTGTTGATATGCTCACTAACATTTTCCACGTCTTTTTCCTATACTGGCGCGGTATTTGCTTTTAGAGCACCTGGTCCATACACGAATATGTCACTCTGTGGTTGTAATTATATTGAAACTACAATTCGAACATCCTTAAAAATTGAACAAACCTGATCTGTTAATGCAGGTAGAATATTCTCACCACACGGATTATTTATTGCACTGCATACATATGGCATGATTGGCATGGCATTGGTGGTTACTTAATAATAATAATAATAATAATAATAATAATAATAACTTCACATATTTATTTCAGTTAATTCTCTCGGTTGCAGGAAAAATAGCATGTTTCATTCGGATCACTTTTGATCCTAATAAAACAATCTACTATTCTTTGACAGTTAACAGGTAGGAAATATGTACTTTATCTGCCTAGACAGGAAAAGTTTGTTGCTATGCAACATTCCAATTAATTTGAATGAAATTGGTAATCAAAATTGACAATGACATTGGTAGACCACAAAATGATGTAGTTTTCAATAGAAAAATTGCACAAAATTGGTTTCATAAGATTTGGAGAAAAAATTATATGTTACATATGACAGCAAATGTAGATTGACTGCCTTGGCTGAATTCCTACCAGCCGCGGCAGTCAATCTACTACTTTGCTGCCTAGTAAAATAAATAACTATTTTCTACAACTGCTATGAAAATTAGCGTATTTCTCATAGCTTACTTACTAGTTTGAAAACCATGTATTGCTCATACTATGAGAAATAATTTTTCACGCCACTTTGCCAACACCACATCCATTTCCATGGAGAATCAACAAAAATCGACCAAAACATAGTTGGTTGCTTTTCAGTTTTGTATAGTTGTCACAACTAGAGTCCCTGTATATACCTTAGACAAGAGTCCGGACACAAAACTGACAGCTGTTGGGGTTTTCAATATTTTGTTCCATTTGGTTTGCCCACCTGACAATGTGACGAAACACCATAGTCGTCTCGCCCGCTTTTTTAAATTATTTCGAATTTCTGTCACTGTCACTTTGAAATTTTATGACCGCCAAAGTTTAGCATTTTAAATTATTTCAATGTCCTGCTGCGTACATTATTGCGATAATTCATTAGAAAAGGGATTCAAGTTATTATTATTATTATTTGAGAGATACGAGGTCGGTTAAATGACACCAAATGTGGAGTTTGTCAAGGCCAACTATAATGTGAAAAAATATTTTGATAAAATCAATTCATTCTTGTTTTATACGCAAAAAACAGATTTTGATCATTTTCATGTCTCCTCCGTAACTTCTTTATTTATGAAAATATTCAAATAAGAATTTCACATTCTCATGGCAGTTTTTCAAAGTGATTTCGAAAAAACTATGTTTATACCAACTCTTCTAGAATTTGAGATATCAGCACCAACTTTAGTTTTTCAAATGTAGGTCTTAGCTCACTATGACTTAGTTACAAATAACTTTTTTTTCTCTTACCGATGATATGTCGCAGTAATAGTTTTGTGTTGATAACAACGGAGTTATCGTCATTTATACAAAAACAAAAAATTATTTGGAAGCCGCCATCTTGAATTTATAAATTTTAACAATAAAATCATGATCTTTGACCTCAAAAACCCCCACTTACCAATTTTGAATGGAATCGGACCAAATCTTGTCCGCCATCAATTAGAAAAAATTGTTGCTCCAAGATAGCGGACAAGATTTGGTCCGATTCCATTCAAAAATTGGTAAGTGGGGGTTTTTGAGGTCGGAGATGGTGAGCATGGTAAGTGGGACACACTGTATACCGCCAGAGATAATGAAAAAAGCTGCAACAGTTATATATTTTGTCGGAAATTTCAAGAAAAAAGAATAAATTGGCATACGAAAAAATTTATGGAATGTAGAAAAATACGAAAATAATAGCTATTTGTATTACACATTTATGCTTGTTTGATTAGAGACTGCCTTATGAAACATCTCCCATCCATTCTTAGGTAGTTTTGAAATTCACTATGGGATATCTTCCAATCTGACTTCATCAAAAATACTGTCTGTAGGTTAATCGAGGAGGTGGTACATTCATTATTCCAAATTTTTCGAGATTTTCTCTCCTCGTTTCTATAAAATAAAAATATGAATATTATTTCAATATACGTGTAGTAAGGACAAATCAGATGATTTGCCCCAAAATGTCACTGCGTTTAAAGAATTTTCCTATCAGAGAGCCTAAAAGAAAAATTCACTAGCTTGTCAGTGACAATTTGTATTGAAAAATTTTTGGAGAAGAGAAATAAAGGTATATAGAAAAAATATCAAATTTTCACTTATCTTTGGACGTTTCGGGACCGATTCTGCTCATTGAAAACTGAAAAGCTTCAAGACATATTATACGACTTCGCAATTGAAAAAATCTCTTCATGTTGAAAACGGGAGCAGAATCGGTCCCAAAACGTCCAAAGATAAGTGAAAATTTGATATTTTTTCTATATACCTTTATTTCTCTTCTCCAAAAATTTTTCAATACAAATTGTCACTGACAAGCTAGTGAATTTTTCTTTTAGGCTCTCTGATAGGAAAATTCTTTAAACGCAGTGACATTTTGGGGCAAATCATCTGATTTGTCCTTACTACACGTATATTGAAATAATATTCATATTTGTATTTTATAGAAACGAGGAGAGAAAATCCCAAAAAATTTGGAATAATTCATCAAAAATCATAGGTAGTACATATCTTCCTCTTTTTTTTATCACTTTGTATTACAAATACAACACAAAATATTTAAAATATAATGCATTTTTATTGAATTTTTCATTGGGATTCTTCCCATTTTAGAGAACCTACTTGACCAATATTTTTGTTCAAAAATCTTCAAATCGTGTGACAAAGATTTTTTGACATTTCAAACCTTTTGAGTCAAACAGGCAAGACTAACGTCACATCAAACAAATAATTTGATCAAATTATTGGACCGTGAGACACGGCCTTAAGACATTCAGCATAAAAACGCGGCCGGCCTTGAGCTAGTTGTTTTTTGTTTCAGAACCAGTCGAAATGGTCAGAAATGGTGATCAACAACATCGCCACGTCGGGAAAATTCTCCAGTGATCGCACAATCATCGAATACGGAAAAGACATCTGGGGAGTGGCACCGAGCTACGGAAAACTTCCCGATCCTTCCGAACCCAGAGAGTTGGCCTTGAAAGGCAACTGAACGGGTTCCTGTTCGCCGAGTCGAGGCAACTCTCGTTCAGTTGTCTCCAGATAGTTGGAAGTAGTGTAACCTTGTTCAAGAGGAGGTTTGTTAAGTATTCTGAAATTTTTATTGGATTTCGTTCATGATTGAAGTATTCACCAGTATGTTATCTATGCAGGGTATATCAGAGTTGTAGCACAGTGTATTTATTCTTGAAAACGAAAAGAAACATCGAACAATTTTTTTTCCGCAATCGGCTCAAAAGTCGACAATTTTTCTTCCAAAATCAGGCCTTGAAGTTGACACAATAAAATGATTAGTATGTATGTTGCTAGGCAACACTTCCAGTGTTTATAGGAGCTAAAGTTGGAGTTTAACTCCTAGGAACTAAGAACGTGTCGGATGACAGCTGATATGATAGCTGCTTTGACACTGACATGCCCAACTTACTCAAAATAGTGGTATTTTCACTTATATTTTATTGATTTAGGTATCAGTTATTTCGATTGCTCCGCCTCGCAAACGCAAATATTGCTTGTCAAACAAAGTGTCACATTTGATCCTAATAAACAATGTATTTCTCCAAGATGGAAACAACGTACTTCCAAATTTTCAGAGTAGGTGTCAGATATAGGTACTGTTTTTGAAGTGATAACTTCGATAGGCCCGTTGGGCACTTTCTGGAGTGAAACGCCAATCTCGCGTCACTGTCACCGCGTACCATAATACCGGTATAATCATAAGTGTGAAATTTCTCCATCAATACTTTCAGTTCTAGTTCCTCCTTTTCGCGAATGCGTGGAAATATTACACGAAATTCATATTACTTTATTTAGATTTTTCCCGTATTGTCCAAAAGATATTGAAAATACTGACCGGCCATTGAAGTTGAACACTTCCAATGTGTGGTCCAACGCGTGATATATTTTTTTAAATAACTGATAACAATAATACGATAAATTAGAGCTCTCAAAAACTAAAGAACTTGAAAAAATATCTACTACCAAAGTTTTAAAAGCAAATACAGGATGTATCATAACTATTGGGACATAGACTAAGGGCGGATCGTTTGGACCAAGATATGGTGATAGTACCAAATATGCCTTAATAGAATATTTCTATGGAGAAAGATACAGGGCGTGGAAGTTGAATTTGTATTTTCGTTTTTTGCTAATAATTCCACTGTATATTTATCAATTGTTATTAAAATCAGCACTGAGGCATAATTTGATACAGGGAATATTATTTTTGAGTATCATTCTACAGTTTGTTACAGGGGCGCCACGTGAACGGTTCCTGATGATGAAATCATCTTGTAACTTTTTTTTAGTGAACTTTTCAGTAATTTTGAAAATATGGCATAAACATCATTTCTACCTAATATCAGTACTCTTGTTTGAACACGATATTTTCATGCGTTTTGGAGTAAAATACAATTGAACAGTTCAAAGTGTCAGGAAGGGATTTCAAATTTTATTTCATTCATGAATAGTTGCTTTATGCTCAGATAATTGTTGCTGGTGATTGACATTTCTTGTCAGTGGATGAATAGGCCTGTTTCAGTGAAAAATTTTATTTCATTATTTCGAAGTACGTACTAACTATCGCAAACCGTTTTTTCCTCAGAGCTCTGTAACTTTTTTAAATAATTATTGAAATTCACGATATTTCATAACATGAACAGAATATGAAATTCATTTTCTGGATTGAATACTTACTGCAGATAACAGAGAAAAAACACACAACTAAAGAATCAGATAATATGAGGATTATCTTTGAATATTCGCATCTTGACTAGATGAACAAGGGTTTGACGATGAAGGTGACAGCCAACGTCAGGAAGTTAGGTTGACAGAGTAGTTTGTTTTCTTCTTTTTTTGTATTTCTGTGAACTCAGACATTTCACTGTTGCCCGTGCCACAAAATAATTTGGGATTACAAATACAGTCTCGATCATCATTAGGAATACTAGGATATTTTTATTGGTACAGAAGCATCTTGCAAGTATATAAGTATTCAATAAGTTATTATTAGGGACCAGGTCGAACTATATCATCTTCTGTGAATGTGAATATTATTGTCATTGAAAAAAAATTGCGATGATTTTAAATAACGAATGATTGCATCAAATACTATTTATACCCGGAATGATCAATATAAAATAGGTATGTGGCGTAAATTCTACTACTACCCTTTTTGGCGCGAGTATATAGTACATAATTTTTCAATTGAACCGCCCTCTATCTTTTTACACAGCAATAATTTATTGAGGCATATTTGGTCCTATTGCCATAGTTTGATACAAACAATACTCTCTCAGCCTATGTTCCAATAGTTATGACTCACCCTGTAATACTTGAATAACCTACGGATTCACGATGCCACTGGATTATTATTTATCAAAAGAAAAACATGTTTTGAAATTATTGTTCTATCCGTCATTCGGTTGCCCCCTTATTAGTAACCCTCAGAAGTTTTCAAGAGCAAAAAAAAAGATCTAAAACACTTTCTGGGACCATCCGCTAAATGTCTGCAGTCGTTTGGATTCGAAACCACGACAGGCAAGCCTTCGCGATTAGAATACTAATGCTTTCACCACGCGGCTTCCTGGCGCCACATACCTCTACCACCGCGTATGTCTAAAACAAAGTCGTGATTTCAAGTGGACCGTTGGCTGCATTTAGTTTAGCGCCCGGCAATCGTTTTTTTTGCGGTGTCGTATCGGTTGTTAATCGGTAAAAAAATGTTTACGCGATATTCTAATTTACGGCGAGTTCAACTAAAAAACAATAATAATATAGTGCATTCAATAGATTTTATTTTTGTTTATTGACATGTAATTAACTGTAATTAACGTGATGAGATTTTCTGAATATTCATACGAAGAAAAGATAGAATTGAAAAGAAGAGGTAGACCATTATTACCAGATATTTGTATTGAAAAATCTGGTTTGAGTAGAGGAAAAAGTTATACATGTGAATTTAGTCGACATTTATTAAAAATATGACTGGATTTGAGGATGTAACAAAAAAATCCGTGCCTACTTTTTTAATAGCAAACAATCTAATTGGAGGACGCAAAAAATTATTAGAAGTTTTGGTAACAACTCCCATGAATGAATCGAAACGTTTCTCAGAAATTGATTGGCCGAGGATCGTTTCCATGCTATCTATTGAAAAAACCTTATCTCCGAAATGACAAAGTGATTATAAAATTTGCGAATAAAAAAAAGTAGGATATACTTATGAAAAACTGTTGTTATTTGCAGAACACTCGAATGAATTTACCACGAGCCGCCACTGCAATAAATGTATTGTATCTTTTTTTTACGAAGCAAGAACTTTGAAAAGTCAAGGGATAAAAATTTGGAGGTTCAGGGAATTCATTTGAACAAATTAATGGAAATCGCAAAAACATTGGTACAGGGTGGTATTTTTGGTCCCATGTTTATATGAACTTTTGCTGAGCGGTATCTGTCCTAGGTTTTAGTCGCTACAACTCTGAAACACATTATATACACTGTGTCCAAAATAAGGAGAACCCTTATGGATGTATCAGAAATGACAAGACATACGGATTTTTATTAATTTCTTGGCGATGGTAAAAGAAAAAAAGCAATTGAACCATAATGTCAGTTACACTGTTGAAGTCTAAAAAGTAAAAAAAAACCCTAACTTGATATCAATCAGGACAGTATTCAAAGAATAAATTGAAAACGAAAATTGAGTTTCTCCAAAATAAATGAAGGATGAAAAGTCAGATCATTGGTTTCAAGTTGTCTTTTTTTTTGGTCCCCTAATTATGCAAATTTTTCCAATTCTACCAACTCGTATATCTTGTCAATTTCCACAACTTCTTATTGGCCTTCCTTGTTATTTTTTTAGCTTCATTATTAATAGCATCGAGTTTCAAGTTGAAAAACCCAAGAATTATTTTAAAAATTGAAAAATATTATTGCAGGACTGTTTCTATAATTCTCTGTGCCATTAATTATTTTCTATCTTTGTGATCACCTGAATGAAAAAACAATGAAAACTCAGGACTCACTCGACTTTTTCAATTGTGATTATTCTATTATCATGACATACATATATATATTATGGAACTTTTGCGTCTGTTGAAATTTATGAATAATGGAGTTTTCTGTACAGCAGATGGAATAAATTGAATTTTGAAATGTGTTAATTGACAGAACTCACGGTCTAATCTCCGACACTCATTGATTTGTCAGATATCCTATGTATAGGGATGTGGGATTTTTAAATAATTTTTAGCAACTTTATACAATTTTTTGTAGAGAGAACAAGGCGAGAAATGAAAATTTTCCGAATATGTGCAATATTTATCCCACATTTAGCCGTTAAAACAGCTTATTCTGCGTCTTCCAATTTTATTAATTTTCAAAATATATATGACTATAACCAGGCACGAATATGATTATCATGAAACAAACATTTTCAGTCTGTTGAAAACGGCTAAAAATTCACATTTTCCTTAGCACGATTTTTTGCCGGAAGAGGAATTCCAGTGGTAAAACTACTCATTACTAATGTTTCTAATTATAATTTACTCCATCTGCTATGCCCCAAGCTCAATTTTTCATTTATATATTGTATTTTATGTACTAGAGATTATTAATATTATAATAAACTGAATCTATTATATGCTCCATAGTTAGCTTATCAAGTGAAACTTTTGAATAAAAGTAGTTTCTATATTATGAAGCAACATTTCATGTTTGATTTCTTCTAGTAATTAGCTACCCGGAATTTCCAATAATTGCAGAAATAAATAGAGGGTGTTTTTATTATGATTTCAATGGTGAGACTTCTTTTCGACCAAGGTAACTCACTTTGACGATTTAGGGCACTCGCTTCACTCTGGTGTAAAGGATACAAAATCTATAAAGACATCTTCGCTTTCGAATTGAGTGTGGTTGGATATTTTATGAAGTTTTTTTTTTTAGTTCTTAGATCTGTATTTACGAACCCCATGTTTTACAGGGCAACTGAAATCACAAAACACAACAAATAAAAAGGAGTATCCTACCATGGTGTACTGTGTAGTACCTTAGCTTGAAACAGGCAATATGGTCTTGTAATATCTAAGACTGGAACCTTTGGCACGATAATACACTACACTGTTTTACCACTAACCAAACCGATTTTTTAATGCCTCGACACGTGTTTCGCTAACTATGTTAGCATCTTCAGGATAAGATTAAAACTCAGTTTTAATCTTCTCGTACCAGGCAATTTTTTTCGTCGAATTGCCAGGCAACAAAATTCTTATTGATACATGTCAAGTATATTTCAATTTCAACGTATACAAAGATTCATACGATGACGAAATTGGATACAAGTATAGTCAACTCAGTACAAAGTTCAGTCTGGGCGCTAGACGGCTCTGGCTTACTCATCAGTACAACAAAAAACAACAAAAAATAGCTGATAGCACTTAGAATTTTTCCATCGTACATATTAAGTTATTTATTTAATTACGTATTTCGTTTGTGTACGTGGAAATAATGAAAATTTCGAACAATTTTTATGTAATATCTGTCAATCGATTCAAGTATACTCATTTTGTACACACAATATATTACATAAGCGGACGGCGGTTGGTGATTACGAGTATGATGAATCACGGAATGCAGAACGGTTGATGATAGGAAATTAGTAATTAGTCAGTATATTACAGTCAGCCAAGTGACAAGGTTGTACGGTGTTGTATTGTTTGTGTGTGCCTCATTACTCGCCCCTTACATCAGAAGTGGTGAAAAAGAATTCTGCCTACCTAAAGTTGTTATGGGTCGTTCAACGAAGAGACGTCGCCGCCAATCACCCAGTTCGTCGAAATCAAAAACCTCGGATTCGACCTCATCAAGAAGTCGATCGAATAGCAGTGAAAGACACAGATCATCCGATAGTAGCCATCATCACAGAAGGTCCCATAAGTCCAAACGTCACACTAAAAGTAGATCACGATCGAGAAGACATGCTCATGATGCGGCAGGGGTGAGACATAACGTTCATCATAATTCAAATAGGGAACAGTTAACTTGTGTTTCTGCGATTATACCTCAGTTCAATCCTTTAACAGACAATGTTTCACAGTGGATCGAAACAATCGAAAATAGTGCTTGCATATGTGGGTGGAATTCGGAAAACATTATTTTTCAAACGATTAGTAAACTTCAAGGAACTGCAAGAGTATGGTATGAGAGTCTGATCGCAAATGAGCCTGGATGGTCACAATACTCTTGGAGAACATGGAAACAAAAACTTAGAGAATCTTTCCACAGCAGACGCGACATGTACCTACTCCCTTCTGACCTCATGAATCATAAGCCAGCAGTAGGCAGTTCTCTGTATACATTTTTCTTCCTACATTCCGCTAAAATTGATGATTTGAAATTGAATCTTTCTGACGATGACAAAATTTCTCTGATATTGGGGTCTATAAATGATAAAAACATAACGACCGCTGTAGAGGCTTCAGGAATCAAGAGCACTAATGAATTGGCATATTTGCGCAATAAGATATTGTCGAAAAACACAGAAATTCCTAAGTCTTCATTTGCGGGACGAAGTTCAAGCAGAATACCTAAACCTAGTAAACATTTCGTAAACCATAAGACGCACTTCTCAATGTCTAAGCAATCTATAATACCACGTGTAGCTAGATTGATGCTCAGTCTTCAAGAATATAATTTTGACATTCAACACAAAGCTGGGGTACAAATCCAGCACGTCGATGCATTGAGCAGAAATCCTGGAGGAGATGATGATAGCATACAAACTGTTATGATCATCTCTGAAGGGGACTGGTTGAAAGAGACTCAAGAATTAGATTCAAATATAGTGAAAATAAAAAATATTCTACTTTCTGGAGACACAGATAATAATAAATCAATTTTCAAAGAATATGACTTATGTGCAAATCGGGTGTAAAGACTGACAGATGTGGGTAGGCGTTGGGTGGGCAAAAAAAATTAGGTGGCAAGTCGTAAAGCTTAACCATGATGATGTGGGGCACTTTGCTTTCGAAAGAACATTAGAGAGAATAAGTCAAAGGTACTGGTTCCCGAAAATGAGACGATTCATTAAGAAATACATCGCCTCTTGTATTCAGTGCTTATATCAAAAATCTGTTGGTGGAAAGAAACCCGGGTTACTGCATTCTATTCCAAAACACGCAGCGCCTTTCTACACCCTTCATGCTAACTATTAGTTGTAGTAGACGCTTTCACAAAATTCGTTTTTCTGAGAGCTTTACCAGATACTAAAACCGTTCACGTGATAAAAGAACTTCAAAGAACTTTTGATGACTTTGGCAACCCTAAGACGCTGGTAAATCATTTTCTTCCAAAGACTTCATCAAATATTATGAAAATAAAGGTATACGTCTATTCAACACTGCTGTTGGTATGCCCAGAAGCAATGCATGGGCAGGTAGAGAGGGTGAAAAGAACGGTGCTTGATGCTTTATCAACAATGGGTGCAACAACTACCACCGACAATTGGGATCGCAACCTAGGTGCCATTCAGCAAGGCATCAATAGCGTGAAACATAAAATTACGATGCCACCCCTGCCGCCCTTCTACTTGGTATAAGCCTGAGAGCCGATTCTGACCGTTTTATTGATGAATAACCAGCTATCCTGGACGTTACTAACCTGAGGACAACGGCAAGTGAAAAATTAGAGGCGAACGCACAGCCCTTTGAGTGTGCCTTTGCTTGCACAACCCTTTGAGAGTGCCTTTGCTCGCACAAACCTTTGAGAGTGCCTTTGCTCGCACAGCTATTCAGGAGATTCGCATGTATTCCTGTTTTTGTTTTAGGTTGGAATGTCGATTGCAGCGATTGAGGACAATCGGTGTAATCAGGATGGCCGAGTGTTATACACACAGTATATATAACATAAGCGAACGGCGGTTGGTGATTAGGAGTATGATGAATCACGGAATGCAGAACGGTTGAAGATAGGAGATTAGTAATTAGTCAGTATAATATTACAGTCAGCGAAGTGACAAGGTTGTACGGTATTGGGGTCATTAAGGGTGGTGTTGTATTGTTTGTGTGTGCCTCATTACTCGCTCCTCACACTCATAAGATTGAAGTGAATATTTGTTTTGTGGTTATACCCTTCTAATTGGTTTTCGAGAAATATGAGAAAAATTGTGCTTGTTGGTGTATAACGTCATTAAGACCTAGCGTTTTTGAAACATGCCGACCTTGATTATCAAAAGAGTATTCAAATAATGAAAAATGATATCAAATGCAATTTATACATGGAAAGATTAAAATAAAATAGGTAAGTAGTGTTACTTAATTTGACTAGTGACTAATGGGAGACATGTTCGTTGAATGCTGCAAATAATTGAAACTTCTGAAAACTTAATATTTGTTTATTGTGGGAATAAAACCAAAACTCTATTGATGGGGAAAAAAAATATATAGGTATGTTAATAATAATGATGGGTTCTCTAAAAACATCCATATTGTAACAAAATGAAAAAAAAAAACTCGTTTTAATATGGTGACTTTTTGTTCAAATTCCGACTGTTAAAATGGTAGGCATATGAACACAACATTCAAAACCATTTCGAGAGAACACATTGAGTAACATGTTCATGACCCCTCAAAAAATTAAAAACGCCATAATGCAATTTTGTGTTCATATGGCCACCATTTTGATTTGACATCCAAAATGTCAACAATATTTTAGCTCCCTGCCTACTTGTACAATGATAGAATGGTGGAAACGATTACCTATTGATTTCCTTGTTTCAAGAAATTCTTGTATACATTGTATTTCTCGGGTGATTCAGGATGAAAAGTTGACATGCATATAGGTCCGAGAATGCATAGTTTTCAAAATGAAGTTGGATAACAGATTTTTACCAGTAAATATCAGTGGTGTAATGAGCTAATAGTGCGTTGAAGTGAAAAATATTCAAAGAGGTTTTTTTTCGATCAAAGATTGTGTGTCTACCCATATCAATATCAGATATTTTTGTAGGTGACATTATTGTACTTACTATATTCGTTTCGTAAATGCATCTAATGATTTGTATGTAAACACGAAATTCAATCGTTCAAGTTTGAATCCCTTGACTGAAACATGCCATCTTTGAGATGTCGCGTTCAGGTAACATTGCGATATCACAAACATTCCATCGCAGTGATGTTCATAAGTGAACATCTACGACATGACATGTCGCGATGAGGCAAAACTGCGATATTACGAATGTTCCATCGCTGCGATGTACAAGCTGTCCCATTTTGGATGTCCTTACGGAACTTCTCTCTTATTTTTGAAGATAGAGATTCGCGGTTTTTGCGAACATTGACTACTTTTTTGTGAAACTAACGATACCGCAAACAACATTTTCATAGCCTGCTTCCTTTTTGAGATAAAGTTGCATTTTGGGACCACCACTGTATCTCAGCTATCTTCCAACTTATAGGAAAAGCCAAAACTGTCACTTATTCAGTTTTTCATGTAAAATCCAGTGGCATAGTCAGATTTTCAAAATAAGCTGTTATTATTCAGATATAATTATTGATGCTATGCGCTTCCCAAAAATATATAATTCTTATGCGATTTTTTGAGAAATAGCCTTGAATTTAGATAATTTGCAATTTTTTACTCTATTTCTTATTATTGATGCGCCTTGTAAATGTGTAGCAATATTTTTAATATCAGGAATTTTCATATCAACCCTGTTTCGTCACAGACTCTGGTTTGAAATTCACCAAGATTTATTATTTACCAATATTCAGCACTATTTATTGACTATAAAAGCAGTGAACATTTCAGTAGCTACTCTGAAAAAACTACTACTGAAAAAAAAGCGAGTGTAGAATGTTTTGTAATTATTCTTGACACCTTTTCACAAATTTTCCATCCAATTGCGAATTATAATCCATTATATCAAAACTATACGAAAATTTAGAAACCAACTTAATCCCAACCATAATATATTATCTTTCTTAGTTTTGATATCCTGGATTATTATTCGCCATTGTATGGAAAATTTGTAATTTCGACAGGTAGTCCGGAAAACATTCTCCACTCGCTTTTTTTCATTGCCACTGATTAGGTCCACTGCTTTTATAGTCACAAAATAGCTAAATATTCGAAAATAACAAATTTGTGTGTGACGAAACACTCTGTCAGCAATAGGGTGAATATAAAAATTTATGATATCAAAATGTTAAAAATATTGCCACACTAGCTTTTACAAGGCGGGTCAATATGAAATATACTAAAATATTGTAAATTATCTAAATTCAAGGCTAATACTCAAAATATCGTAAAAGTGGTATATATTTTTGAAAAGCGCAAAGCATCAATGTTTAAAATATGAAAAAATATAGAGGGTATTCCATTAAAAAAAAAAAACAACTGGGTATACTGGGTATACTGGGTAATACATGAATACTAACAGCTTATTTTGGAAATATGACTACGCCACCGGATTTCACGTGAAAAACTCTGTATAAGTGACAGTTTTAGTTTTTACTTCTCCTCTGAGATACAGGGTGGGTCCCAAAATGCAACAGTTCCGATTTCGTCTTGTATCTCAGAAACGAAGTGGGCTATGAAGATTTTATTTGCGGTATCGTTAGTTCAAAAAAGTAGCCAACGTTCGCGATAACCGCAAATAACATCTCTCTGACATCGCAACGACGTCTATGCGACATAGAAGGTGATATCGGAGTTCACATTTGTTACATCGCTGCGATATCTCTGTGATGTAACTGTGTTTGCTGGGTTGTTTGTTTCCATTTTTTATATTCCTTTTCAAAGTCATCTAATAATAATCAATGAGTTATCAAGTTTCTCATCTCTCATCAACACTCAACTTTGTAAAACTTCGGCAGTTTAATTGTTTGTAGTAGATACTATTTAGTCATTTATTAATTAGAATGACACCCTGTATCTTGAAAACTATGCATATCCGTACCAATGTTTATTCAAATTTGTTTCAGAATCACCAAATATCATCCCGCCTTGAACTTTGGCCACATACTCAAAATATTCCCTGTATAACACTGTAAAATGGCGAGTTTGTTGTTTGATTTGCGTCTAGGGCAAATCGATTCATGTAACAATAAAATTAAATGTATATTTCCCGATATTCACTGCTTTACAAAAAACATGGCAACTAGAAATTGGCCCTCAATTTGAATATCGTCTTTCCTGAGCGGATCATTATGATTTGTTACTTTTGTTTGATTGATAAGTAACAATTCTGTAGTAGAAATTATTATTCAGATTTCAATATGAGCGTACACAATGCAAGATTGACAGTTGCCATTTATTTTTTGTAGTGTGGTTTATTATTTTGATCATGCATTTCATGTATAAAAAACAAGGAAAATGACAAGACGAAAAAATGATGTATTTAAAACCTTGAATATCCGATGAAGGGACCACAATGAACTCTGTCGGTCGATTAAAAAGATTGATGAGCCCACCAAAAATTCCCAAAATTATCCTCATCTCAATCATCCAAATAATCATCGATTTCATTCAAGAGCTCCTCTTCTGCCTTCAGCGTCACATTATCTTCATCGTCGTCCTCCTCCAACAGCAGCCGCTCGTCAATTGTTTTACTAGACACGCTCTCTCCATCCCATTGGTCCATTTGCAGCAACGCATTCTCATCACTACCCGAGATCGTTGTTTCGTCCACACTAGCACTAGAAGCACTGGAAACAGGAAATTTTCTCAGCAGCTTGATTCGTCTCTTGGTCTTTTCGCGGTGTTCCTGAAGATTTTCTTCGGAGCAGGTACTGGTTACCTCCTGTTCCATCCTTTCTTGTGTCGAGGCTAGCTTCTGTTTTTCCGCCCGTATTTCCGCCAGGGTTTTTATTTTGATGTTCGCGATGCTCGGCTGGATGGTGGGCAGTTGTTTGGTGTGCTGGTGTCGCGGTTTTGGAATACGCGATCTTGGGTTGTTGGCCATTGTTACGAGGGGTCGGCTGGGTGGTATGGATTTGTTGTTCAGGGTGACTTTGACTCTGCCGTCGTCGTCCTTGAAAACGATTTTTTGTTTTTTCCTGAGAGATTCATCACCTGAGAAGATGGAAGAGATAAATTTGCGATAAATAATATTTTTTCTACAAACGTCAAAAAATGACAAGGTTCGCGCATTGATAACAAATTGCGAAGTGACACTTTTTTTCAGTTTCCTACGTTACCATGATACCTTGCACATAACAATGCGCGAAGTAAAACAGTGCGCGAAGTACCTACTTCGCGCATTGTTATGTAAAATATATGAGATATGTTTATTCCAACTTAATGGTCCTCAATCGAGCAAACATCCACGAAATCATTCATTTCTGAATGTTCAACCATAACTTTGTTTTATCTCTTGGAGCGCACGAAAGGAAATTCCTATTATGCTCGTGGAACATCGTGCGTACCTAGGGAGGATAGGGGGAGGCTTTTTAAGCCAGTTCAACACTATTTTTTATATCAAGCAAAGCATATTTTTACTTTAGAACTATATTTTTTGACGTTTGTAGAAAAAATGTTGTTTGCAACTCGAGCGCGAAATACTTTGGTCATCTCGATTATTTTTTAACTCGGCAATGCCTCGTTAAAAAAATCAGATCTCGATCACCAAAGTAGCATTTCGCGCTCTAGATACAAAAATAACTATTTTTTCTACAAACGTCAAAAAATGACAAGGTTCGCGCATTGATAACAAACTGCGAAGTGACACTTTTTTTCAGTTTCCTACGTTACCATGATACCTTGCACATAACAATGCGCGAAGTAAAACAGTGCGCGAAGTACCTACTTCGCGCATTGTAATGTAAAATTAATGAGATATTTAAATTTCAACTGTATGGTCCTCAATCGAGCAAACATCCATGAAATCATTTATTTCTGAATTTCCAACAATAACTTTGTTTCATCTCTTGAGCGCACGAAAGGAAATTCGTATTATGTTCGTGGAACATCGTGCGTACCTAGGGAGGATAGGGGGAGGCCTTTAAAGCCAGTTCAACACTATTTTTTATATCTAGCTAAGCATATTTTTACTTTTGAACTATATTCTTTGACGTTTGTAGAAAAAATGTTGTTTGCTACTAAAAAATCAGATCTCGATCACCAAAGTAGCATTTCGCGCTCTAGATACAAAAATAACTATTGTCGACTTTAACAAAACATTCACATTTTACGTTCTAATTCCGAACGAAAAACCGACTATTTCCAAAGGCAAGTACTTTTAGTCGGAAGACAGCAACTTTTCGTCCGCAAACACTTCGTCCGCTGCGGTGTTGCCAGTTCTACTGAATTTTCAGTAAATCTCCTGATTTGCATATTGATCTACTAATCTACTTATTTATTATTATAATTACCTATATTATTATTAATCTTCAATTAATCACATGCACTTATAAATTGCATGATGTTTCGGCACGCTATTAATTTTACAAAATGAGTAATAAATGCAGGATATTAGGACAATACATAAATTATTACAACAATTTCAGTTTCATGTATCCAAATGGATAATCATATTTTGGCTACATGGCAAAAATGGAAGACAAATAGTTTCTTCACAAGCAGCCAAATGAAAAAAAACTGAGTTTCTATCTTAGTTTTCTCAACATCGTGAGTTATTTTGAGTATGTATGAGTGAGTATGAGGAGAAAAGAAATAACTTACCTAAAATATTTGCTAATTGGTCATCGCTAAGCCTTTTCATTGAGGTAGTTTGCGTTGGTCGTGTGTTTGGTCTGAACGATTGTGGTAATGTGACTATTCTCTCTGGCATACTATTGTTCGTTAACATTCTATTGAATATCCTCAGCCTCATGTCGTCCACGGTGTGCTCGGGGGTCTCAGATGGATAGGGATCTTGATCTATAAAAACGACGTGGTAGGTACTTAGACACGAATACCTACACCTTGTGATGATCTTCCAAGGTTGGTAGAACTGGTGAATATTTTTATGATAATAAATAAATATGCATAGACACTACACTGTTTTACTATTTTTACTATGTTCTGGTTCTCACGAAAAGGGATATCCTGTAATGTTCAGAGAACATCGTGAAAACCAAGGGAAATAAGGTAGGAATTTGTGTTCTTCTTAAATTTTTGGAGGTTATATGCCTCGGGGAATACCTCCCTTGGCAATGTGTTCTAGAGCCTCGCTGTTCGTTGGATGAACGAGTCTTTGGAAAGAGATGTTCTGCAGATCTCCAAAGTGACCACGAAGGGGTGCGAAACCTCAACCCGATGGGTTAATCTCGCGGGGACTGCCAAGGGAGGAACAATTGTTGATATTCCAGAAGAGCATCGTCCATGAAAATATCTATAAAATAGGGCCAGATCGCCAACTTTTCTACGGTGTTCCAGAGAAGTGAATGGGTTTGTGAGCGAGGCATCACCCACGAGACGAATTGCCGTTCTTTGGACAGAATCCAACAGTTTCAGGGTATGTTTGGGTGCTGCACTCCAAATATGGGACCAGTATTCCAGGAGAGGTCAGATCTGTGTCTGCTGATAGTAATACCAAGCATCAAAATGGATGTCTTCAAAGGTATGGTTACTCCTGACAAGCTTATGTTGGGTACAGTGAGATCGGTTTTTTTCTAGAGAAAAGGCATGCTGCTTGTGTTTTGTTTACATTGAAATTTACCATGTTATGTTTGCGAAAATGCGAAATTCTCAAACACCTCGCTACTGGTGATTGATGCGAATATCCCAAAGTTCTTGCCTGAGGACATTGTATTAGATTTTCTGCGTGGGATATCCTCTTCTATGACCTCTACACCCCCTTATTGGGCGTTCATTGACTGAAGTACACAGGGCGAGTCAAAAATGTGTACCGAGCTTTCTGAAGGTACATTGGATAGTACATTGAAAAATAAGTATATTTTGATGATGGACCAATGGCCCATAATGTATATAAAGGGAGATCTCTCCAAAGTTGATAAGACTTAAATAATTTTCCCGCATATAAGTAACTTCTAAACGGCAAAACGCCACCAGATTGAGTTTTCCTGCATATATGTATATGTTGATAACATACATTTTTTCTGATACACTTCTACATTGCTTATATGGTTATAAAGGGTATTTTTAGAGGGTGGGGTCATGATTTTTTGGAGACATATTTTTTCATCATATTCTTTTTGGTGAAAAATTAAAAGCATTTGATAGAATGAAAAAATTTACATAAAAACACTACTCTTATCAAAATACAAAATTTTTAACCGATTTGTAGTCACATGATATCAGCAGATTAATTCATCGGGTAACAATATTTCAAAAAGTTTGTTCCAAATTTTGACGTTTATGATATGAACCTTGTTATTGTTAATTTCCTTGTTTAGTTTTGAGAAATCTAGGTTATTTGTTATGCCTAGATGTTTCCCGCTCGACGCATTCCAAATTCGAGAACGATTTTGAGGATAGTCCAAGAGATTGCGTGAAAAAGAATATATTTCAAAATGAAAAATAGAAGTTCGAGGCCTGAAATATTATTACTGATGAATTTATCTGCTGCTCATGTCACTACAAAAATTCAAAGAATATCTCGAAAACTGTTATAGGTACCTACAATTTTTTCTATTCTGATAAGAGTACCGTTATTATGTAATTTTATTCGCTCTATCAAATATGCTTCTATTTTTTCACCAAAAAAATTACGAGGAAAAAGTTGTCTTCGAAAAATCATCATCATCAACTGACTTCATAACAATCACAGAAATGTACAAGTGTATCAGAAAAATGTATTTTATTGAGATACAATTATTATGCGAGACATTTTAAATCTGGTGGCTTTTACTGTTCAGAAGTTAGGCGGGGAAATTTCATTTGCTTTTGTGTTTTTCAAAATCGGATAGTTACCCAGCAAACAATTTCGGTCGTTATTACTACGTCGACCCAAAACCTTCTGGCCATCCGTGTACCAGATTGACTCATTAGGAGGAGGCACGCCAGGGCTTTGTTGAAGTTTGTTGAAGTTCAGAATTGGCAAGGTATTATCCCTTCTCATCATGAGGGTGGGACAGTTTTCCTTTGCCTTATTCCATATGAGGGAGTGTCCTTGATCTGCTTCTGTTCCGACCCACTGGTTTGCACCGTTGAGTCGGTAAGCAGTTCTCATGGCTTCGTGTTGTATGAACAAGTGTAGAGACGGCAGACCTAACAGAACTTCAAGAGCCCTGGTAGGCGTCGTTCTCAGAGCACCTGTTATTCCCAGGCAGGCCAGTCGCTGGACTTTATCCAGTTCTCTGTTGGTCTTGCCCTTATTGGTACTGATCCACCATACAATGGACCCGTACGTAAGTGTTGGGCGTATTACTGCCGTGTATATCCAGTGAAGGGTCTTAGGTGTGAGACCCCATGTTTTTCCAAAGGCTCGTCTGCATGCCCAGAAGCAGCATATACAGCCTTCTTAGTGCGGTTTGCAATGTGCTCATTCCAAGTGAGCTTGAAGTCTATTATAACTCCAAGGTACTTTGATGAGCTTTTATATTGGAGACACTTTCCCGAGAGAAATATCTCAGGAAGTGTTCCTATTTTGCGTTTCTTAGTGAATAATACCAAGTTCGCCTTTTCTGGATTGACTCTCAATCCACTGGTGGACACCACTGTTCCACTTTATTGAGGGCTTCCATGATTGGATTCCCTAGCCGGTTCGCCGATTGATTTTGGGCCATTATTACCAAGTCATCTGCATATGCTTGCGCATATAGCCCTGGCTTATTCAAATCTATGAGGAGCTCGTCTACCAGGCACCATAGTAGTGGTGATAAAACCCCTCCTTGAGGACATCCTCTTGATACCTTGGCAGCAACCGACCTCCCACATAGTTCTGCTTTTACCACTCGCTGCGATAGCATGGCTGAATAAAAAAGTTACAAATATAATTCTATATTCTCATATACTCAGTCGTATTAACCATTTGATAGATGTTTGGGGATACTGTTCAAAAAACAAATTTAATAAAATATCTGCATTATATAAAAAGACATTGAAAGTACTGTATCGTTTACCATATGATACACCAAGAAATCAATTATATAAAATAACTGAATCATTCTCATAGAAGAAATGTTCAAAATTGAAAATCTGAAAATTACATACAATATTTATTTCATCTTGATATCGCTAATTCTTCTATAGGCCAAAAGAGATTCACCCACGCTGCTCTCTTGGAATATAACAAATTACCAGATAATATAAAAAATTGCAAACATACAATAAAATTCAAATACCAACTTACAAAATTTATCATTTCTGAACGAAATAGATGATTTTTTTTTCAACCTTTGATTCACATTCAAATTGATTTTTGCTCACCAATATGAAATGATATGTCAAAATTTAATACTTAATGTTTTCAAATATTTTATTTTTTATTAGTTTATTATAATTTTATAATTTTAGGTATTTTTGTTAACTGTACTCCCTTATACCAGAACTTGATTCTGACTGGAAGTAACATTTTCAATAAATAAAAATAAATAAATATCATTTGATATAGACAACTTTTATGAAATTATATTTTTCTAAAACAATCTAGTTATTGGAATGCAGTTCTACTTCCCTAGAAAGTTACAGAGTTCAAAGATTGAACCATTTTCATTTTGCCCACCTCATTTAAATAGTGAAATATTATCAATTCGATTTTTTGAAACATAATGGTTTCATTTTTACTTACCATAATATGAATAATAAGCAGCAGATTCAGCTTGAATCTTTTCAAGTTTTATTTCCTCCATTGTTTTCTCAGTCACTATGCGATTTTTATTCGGGGAAAAAGTGGGGCCCGACTCATTATCGGATTCTGCAAGAATACACCATGTTAAAAATATAAGAGCAAAACATGAAGGTGCATTCTTGCAGATGAATAAAACACAATTGATAAAAAAAAATTATTTTATTTCAAGAACAATATTATAATAGTGTACACTCACTTATGAAATTACCAAGAAAACTAATGAAAATTATATTTATTCATCCCATACATCAACAAGTTCAAAACCCCAAAAAGATATTAACAATTTTAGAATTGTCAAACAAAATAAAATAGAACAATGTTCAAGTACACAATGCAAAATGAAAGAAACCCGGCAAAGAACATTTGATACAGTCAATATGAAATTTTGAAATTACCATGTAATCAAATTTTGCATTTCTTGATACTGTTTTGCTCATTACTTCAATTCTGGTTTCACTCTAATTTATGATTCTTTATGACACCATTTTGAGTGAAAATGTAAGTGTTGAATTTTTAGATGTCAAGAACTAATGAGAAAAAATGGTATTAATAATAAATGTGAAATTTTTAGATAATATACCCCAAACTTCAAAACTTCATCTTGAACATTTTAAAGAAGTGGGAAGGTATGGTTCCATGGCCACCCAATATAATAATCAAATGCCAAAGCTATTTTGCATTGTATACAAATAACAACACATAATAAATACTAAACAGTAATATCCCAAAACTGACAAATCAAAACTATTCATCTTTATAAGAATGCACCTTTTCAATATACAAACCAACTCATGATCACTTTGAACTTTAGTTCACTCACATTATGTCAAACTTTAATAAGCATAAAAATAAAAATAACACTAGTACATAAATTTTGTATCTTTCCTCATCACTTGCCAATTTAAATTTTTAATTAATTCCATGCAACATGGTTGAAACATCACCACAATTCTAAATTGAATATTCCTATATTAACATATCTGAACAATAATTATTGATATCAATTATCTAAGTGAAAGAGAATAGTTAAGAAAATGTGTATAGGACTGATTGAAAAATGTATCATGACATTTTCCAATGCAACAAGGAGAGTTCAATAACTAAAAGTATAGAATATATATAGAAGTAATACCAAACATTCATTTGTGGTGTATACAATTTGAAGTGCCATTACTAATTTTTACATAAAAGAAACATTGTAAGGCTGTCATATGAATGAACAATAATTGATCATAACATATATTATTTGCATTATCTTAATGCATTTTCATTTTATTGAATTCTCAGAATTCATTATTTATGGACTAGTATTAGGACAATACTAAAAATTTTGCTAAAATATTGCACAAATAAGTGCTAATAATTGACTAAAGAAATTCCACCTTCCTCACAATCCAGGAAGCACCAATTCTATATCATATTTCCTATAATAAATTTGTTGAAAAGAAAGCTCAACATGTCAAGGAGTCAAAACGTAACAATAAAATTCAACAAACATAACTTTTCAAAATTGACTATACTATACTCTCTTGTGTGAAATTACTTAACAAGTTGAATACCTTCTTCAAAATTCACAACCAGACTATCAACAGCAGTAACTTTTCGCTCATTTTGATTATTTATTTCTGGTGATTCTGCAAAAAAAATAAGTAACATTATTTTGAAATCATTTAGATTTGGAGACTTGAGGAAAATTGATCACAGTTGAGGAGGATTCAGCTGATGCACACCACAATCTAATAATGATTCATAAGTTAAACAATTGGGAACTTCAAGGTTATGCATTGAGAGATGCTGTACACTGTGGATAAATCATCCAATATGGAATACAGTGTTTGACTTTCAAGAATCTTACACTAAAATCACAATTATGAAATAAATTGTGCTTGTGGATCTACTAAATCTGCCTTTACTGAATAAGTTTAATATGTAAACTAGTGTAACTTCTGATTTCAGAATCCATAAATTTCATTGAAGTAAAAAGCTAAGAATAGAATTTACACATTACTTACCAGATGAAATGCTTATAGAGTTGCTATCAGATGGTCTGGGATTTTGGTGCATAAAGGGACAGTGGGACTTCAAACACCCCATTGGTTGAGATTCCCAATAACATGGTATTGCTTTGCGGTTTTTCCTCAGTTCCATATGACGAAAGTTGCATTGAACATTGAGGCACTTCCCTTCCTTCCAGAAAGAACACATTGTTTCACATCCCAATGCAGAAGGTTCATGCCGAAAAGTGCAGTTGTCGCCCTTGAAAGTGAGGTTAGTTGCAGTACAGAAAACATATGGTGTAACATCATACTACCTTGGCACATGTAGAGTAGTAATAGAAGTAACAGTCATTATTTTTCTTTGGGGAATCCAAATCCGTCATTTTTTTGAAGAAATTATCTGTACTGAAAAATAAAAACCACCATACAGATTTCTCATGGTTGAATACATTGAAACAACATGCAAATGTAAACAAATTGTTTGAAGTTAGTAGTAATGTTTAGAATAACATATAAAATTGACAATTTTACCAGTAATAATTTTCAGCAGGCATTTTTTGTTAGAATTGTGTTGCCGTCAAATGAAATCAAAGTGATCGAAAAAGATCGATCTATTGAGTAGCAAAATATTCAGATACCTAAGAATGAATAGAAACAAAAACTTAGAAGAAAAAGTATTTATTCTTCCGTTCAAAAAAGCTTACCAAAAACTTTGGAGTTTTTTTAAAGGGTTTTTTCACTGCTTCACGCCGAGGCCTGTTGCCTTGGATCTTCGAGCTCGATGTCTTTTTACTTTTTTGAGCAGGAATCCGTTTTGCCCAAACATATGTATAGGATTTGTATAGGGGCCAATCAGAGCGATTTTTACAATGGCGGTAAATTCAAATCACGACGCAGAATCAAGTCTACTAAAAATTTCCGGCCGATAGGATGTTGCAAATCACAATCGACCTCAACAGTACGTAGTATACTTTTTTCAGGGAGGAAGGAAATATCCCTTCTGCATAAGAAAGGAGACTTCACTTTTTTTAAACATTCAAACCTTACTTGGTCTAAAGGTCTAAATCATGTCTAAATTGACCTTCTTGAGGAATCAGAATTAAAAAAAAAACCGTCAAAGGATTTTTTTTTAATCGCTTGGAGCGCACGAAAAGGAAATCCCTATAATGTTCCAAGAACATCGTGCGTTCCTAGGGAGGATAGGGACAGGAGGTAGGTATTGGAATTTTTTTTGAACTTCTGGAGATTATAATATGTTGTTGGGAATACTTCCTCAGGCAATGAATTCCAGAGCCTAGCCGTTCTATGGATGAGAATTATGGTATGAAGAAAGAACTTATTGATAGTATAATAGTATAATATGATGAATTGATATTCATCGTACAGGTCGTGGAAAGAAATTCTGAATCAAGAAAACCTTATCACGATTCTGAGAATATTCCTTTTAGTCAAAACAAGCAGTTGCCAGTTGCTGCACATGGGATATTTGTTGCAAGGTGTCTTTCTCAGACGAATAAAAGAAAAGACGTTTGTCAACAACACGCAGGTGCTTTTTTTTGGATTGTTCTGATTGGTCTATAGAAATCGCCTATGCATATGTTTGGGCAAAATGGATTCGTGCCTTTTTTGATGCCTCGACCCTCGTCTCGTGTGGTATCGTCTCGTCTCGTTTCTCATTCACTGACACAGACATGTCTGTGTCACGTGTCAACCAAGTGTCAACTCAACATCGAATCAATCAATCTAAGGTAAGTTCACAATGCAGCGATGAAATTATATATTTCAACTTGTTGGCGTTGTTGCTTTGCCAGAGCGGCACAGAACTTGAACATAGAGTGTTCATCTGATCATACTCTACTGGTTTGACTGGTAGGTATTCATGGAGTAAAATTGTTTTTACTGCTATAACACAAAATTGCTAAATACTGTCTGTAGGTTAATCGAGGAGGTGGTACCAGAGCAAGGATTATTAACTCATTGAGTTAATAATCCTTGGTACCAGTCACCCTGACTGATCTCTGGTGGTACATTCTAAAGTCACTGGATGGTATTAGTTAACATTCATTATTCCAAAGTTTTCCTCTCCTCGTTTCTATAAAATGAAAATATGAAAAAAAAAATTGCTCTCGTTTTACAGTATTCGATTCAATGAGGTACTTTGAATGTCATCAATATTGTTCCCGTATCTGACGTTACAACTTACAATGCCTCCATTGTGTGAATATCATTAAAAAAAAGACTCATCGCCCATGGAATGTAAAATTTCAAGCAATGACAGCTCTGTCTAACAGATGAGCATTACTTGAGAGGATATCAGATGGCTACAAGACGACGAAACATGGACGAAACAAAAAATGTCGCACTTTTCTGTTACAGCCCTGAAAAAATTTAGTGTATAACTCGCATGGAATGCTAATTTCCCACTCGAATGATTGCCGCATTCGCCTAAGGCTCATGTTGCAAACTTCATTCTCGTGGGAAATGACTATCATTCCACGCTCGTTAATCAATATACTAATCCTTGATTTCACACATCACCCTTCGACCTACTCTGAAAAAACATCTTGCACTATTGGCAGAAATGGCCAAAGTATTCCTGTGTAATATTGTGGCATATTCATAATAATAATAATTAAATGAATACTCATGTATTGACCAATTCATCTACAAAGATCAGTATATTAAAGTATATTGAATTAGGTTCAATTATCATAACACTGAAAACATTTTAGACAATTTGGTCAAAAGTTACCCTTGTAATGTAACCATAATTAATATAGCGACGCGGCCGTACATCGTACATGGCGCATACAAATTCTGTTCTGGCGGGAGCTTGGGAGGCCTCGCCTAGAGGTCTGGACGTTGCATAGGTGATCTAATGTGCTTCTAGGCTATGCTCACGATGTTATGTTTTAGTTGGCTTTAGTTAGGCTCAGTTAGGCTGAAGGTTTCAAGTTCAGGGTTCCAGATAGAGTGAGTAGACTAGAGAGACATATTACAGGACTCAGATTTCAAGTTCCAGGATGCTTGGATGCATCTTATTAGAGTTGAATTCCTGAAATCACTATGATGTGGTTGGTTAAGATTAAGATTTGATTTATTCTTCTCCATTTTGGTAGCTAATATGGCGGCGGGAAATGATAGGGAATTTTGTAAGAGAGTGGGTTATCGAAATTCTAAACGTTGGCCAACCTGACTGTCACGATTAACTGTCAAATCAATCAGTTGATCAGCGATCAGCTGTATTCTGTATTTTTTGTTTTGTTTTGACTTGTGATATCAATGACTTCATCTTGAAATTTTCTGGCTATTTATTTGGTTAGTTCTTGAAAATTGTAATCAGCATTATCGTTATAGAACTAGAAGGAACTGCATTGAAATTATCCAATCTTAGGATTGAAGGAAGGTACCAGATATTTTTAGTAGCCATCAATTCTAGATCGATATCTATTGTTTAAATGGTTCTAAATGTATTTCTTTGTTTTGATTCAAGATCACAAAATGGGTCGGATTTTCCTAGAACATATGGGTGGAAACCGTTTATTCTCATGTGCAAATTGTGGGACTAATTTAACAAATCGATCAGAGTTAATGAGTACCAGGTTCACAGGAGCTACTGGTAGAGCATTTCTATTTAATCGGGTTGTAAACTTGACATACAGTGAGGTCCAAGATAGGGTTATGTTGACTGGACGTCATATGGTGAGAATGCATCTAATATACCCTTATGATGTAGTTGTAGAAATATCATTCATTTTGGTCATGATTTAGGTGAGAGATGTCTGTTGTAAATCTTGTGATACAAAATTAGGATGGATGTATGAATTTGCTACTGAAGATAATCAAAAATACAAAGAGGGCAGAGTAATTCTGGAAAGAGCCCTTGTAACTGAAAGTGATGGGATGGAAGACAGAATTTACAATGAAAGGAGACGGGCCCCAAGGGAGATGGTACGAAATTAGTTGTTTTTGTGAGGAATAAGTTATAGTTGGAAGAGTGAAAACCATATTAATCATCAATAAAATAATCTTTCAACTATAGAGGACTTGAATTGTTTGAATAGGTATACCTATATTGCTATATTATAATCTTGAATGGTTGTTGATATATTCTTCCATAGATATTAACATTGCTGAATTTATTGAAGACCTAAGGGAATGAAGATGTGAATGAAGTATACACCTGGTGTCCCAGATATTTTCATACAGCATAACTGAGATATTGACTTGATGAAAAGATCTAGGACACCTGCCAGTATAGGTATACCTATCAACAATGAAGATGTCTGGGACTAAGATCATATGAATGGAAGAGTTCTGAGTCAACTGTATTTGAGACAACACATATGATTTCATCTAATGGAGCACCTTTATCCACTTAGATCTTCAATAATTGTTTTTGGTATTCAGAGTGAATTTGAAAATTTTCACTACTTACCTATTGGTATACCATTTAGCTGGCCATTTAGCATATATATTTAGTGGTGAATATCAAACTCAACATTTTGTAGAACTTTTTCACCAATTATAGGATTAATAAGGTGTATATAATTATATTCTGTAATTTCATACTTGATATTGATATTATCAATAAAGATTCAAATTATGATGTTTATTGTTCCATATCCATATTCTCCACTCTTGACGGCTTGCCCGAACTCGGCATTTTATTTATTTAAAACTTTGCCAACAAGAGGAGGGAAGATTGCTTTATATTCAACATGGACTTTGATTGATAAGCATAATGATGATTTTGGTTTTGCTGAAACTGCTATATATGGAATGGAAGCATGACAATTCGAAATATTCTGCACACTAATGATTCCAAAATACCTACCTTGTATTCTCTAACAGAATATCTAATTCATAACTAATTATTCCAAGATATACCTTCTCAGTTCTTGATGTGCTCTATTCATGTATTTCATTATGCTGAAATCTATATACCCATTCCTTAAACTGTGTCTATGTGCTGAAGCTGAAATAAAATAATCATACATAAAAATGTGTTAGATCTAAATACAACTAGTTTCAATCTGACAGTTCTGGTTGAACTCCACTAGGATCGCACGAAGTATCCCTGTCACTATTACAGTGACTATTGCTTTACAGTGACTACTTTACAGTACGCTGACAGTACGCTGCTTTCCCTGTAGCTTTTGAGGATTTCCTCCAAGATGGCTGAGTGGAAATACCATAAGAAATACAGAGTTCTGGCTCCACTGTAAAAATCACAAAGAGAGCGTACAAACCTATAACAAACAATACCCTTGAAGCGACACCTTTCAGATTTAGGATCAACCATTATAGTTTGACGACAGATCGACTAGTATCGCAGCGCCATCATTCATTTGAAAGAAAAATAAGGAGTGGATAGGTTCTCAGATGTCGCTAGGCTCGATGTTCAATTCTTCTAGCCAACAGTTCTCAAAAGTTTATACTTTATAGGGTTTTCCCAGACAGAATATTTTTTTATTGTTTTGTCAAATTTCGTTCCGAATTTCTTGACCTCGTATTCTCCAGCTATATATGAGTAGGGCATCATAGAGTATATAATATAGTACCAATTTCAGTCAAAATTGATCATTTTGAGTATAAATTAAACTGTAGGGACGTTTGAAAAGCACCTCTTCTGTTATATGTTGTCAAGAACAATTTTTTCTTAATTGTAAATACGTAGGTACTTGGTTGAAAATGAAGTCATTATATATTACCAAAATCCATAAATTGCTTCGTGAAGAGTAGAAAATATCCTTAACTAATATGGCATGGATTATTTTTTCTTCAGAAATCTCAGAACGACAGGGCAGTATGTTTCTTGACAAATAATACAAGATTTATTTATGTACTTAGAGATAAAATAATTGGAAATATGATAATGTATTGCACATATAATATACCCGTAGAATGGGGATACTTTTCATCAGATACAAAAATACCTATAGACAAGAAACCTCGGAGAATATTATAGAGTGTCAGTTGTTATACCCCTTTTAGAAAATATAACCCAAGACCTCGATTTTTATTGTTTCAATTCAGAACTTGGAACATTTTTATTTTCACAGTTGTAGGAATAAAAAAACATGGAAACTGCTAGAATTTGCGGTCGCTTGTGCCGCTTGCTCTAGGATAATATATGGGGAATTTCGGGATTATCTTCTCAGTTTATTTTGTTGGAATGAATTTGATTGCCAGAGAATAAACAATACTGACAATCACGATACACTGTTTGGCATATGTATGATTCGTTTCCATGGTTATTCTCAAAGTTTTTCCGTGCGCTGTATCTGTGCGATACTTCCACGGGAAATGTTCTTCGGAAATCTCTGCTATCATCCCTTCACTAGCAATACCAATCAGACAAACTAGACAAGCCCAGTCAGCACATCCTTTCGTCGTCAACCTCGAAAGATGTCGAACAGCACTTTATCAAGACTCCTTCATCCATAGAACGGCTAGGCTCTGATGGAATTCCTGTGGAAGTATTCCCAACAATATACAGGGTGTCCCTAGACCAGTGGGACAGTTAAATATCTTCTGAACCAATAGGAATTTTCAGAATATTATAATCTCACATCATATCGCATTATGACTGCTAACTTCAGGAATGACTATATTTTATACGAGGGGCACAAGAAAGGCTCACAAAATCGAACATCAATTTTTTCAATGGAACACCCTGTATTCCATTGCATTTTCATATTCTCCTTGAAGAGCTGAGTTCAACGACCTAGCACACTTGGGGTCTAGCAAGAATGATTTCCTAGATATAGGGTGTGGAAAATCGCGATTTTTCATTTTTGGGAATTTTTTGTGTCGAAACTATTCATTATTGGCCAAAACGGCTCACATGTCCATATTTTAACTTCTGATTTACTATTTACTAGTATTTAATTGAAACAAATACAGGGTGGTGTCGAATTAACAGTTTCAGTCAGAATTCTACACCACCCTGTATTTGTTTCAATTGAATACGAGTAAATAGTAAATCAAAAGTTAAGATATGGACATGTGAGCCGTTTTGACCAATAATGAATAGTTTCGACACAAAAAATTCCCAAAAATTGAAAATCGCGATTTTCCACACCCTATATCTCGGAAATCATTCCCGCTAGACCCCAAGTGTGCTAGGTCAGTGAATCCAGCTCTTTAAGGAGAATATGAAAATGCAATGAAATACAGGGTGTTCCATTTGAAAAAAATGATGTTCGATCATGTGAACCTTTCTTGCGCAGCTCGTATAAAATATAGTCATTCCTGAAGTTAGCACTCATAATGCGATATAATGTGAAATTATAATATTCTGAAAATTTCTATTGGTTCAGGAGATATTCAACTGTCCCACTGGTCTAGGGACACCCTGTATAACCTCCAAGAGTAAAAAAAAAACCAATACCTACCTCCTGTCCCTATCCTCCCTAGGAACGCACGATGTCCTTTGAGCATTAAAGGGATTCCATTTCGTGCGCTCCAAGCGATAAAAAAAATAGTAATTTTCCTAACAAGTGTGGAAAGTGAGTCTTTCCCGCACGCGACTGCCGTTGACACGAACGACGCGAAGCGGAGTTCGGGCATGGCAAGCAGTCGAGTGCGGTAAAGACACTTTCCGCATGAGTTAGGAACAATATTTTTCCTACAAGCGTATTCTCTATCTATTTATTAGTAATAGCTATTGTGAACTCACAGTTCGACGCATTATGTATAGGTTCATTGCGGAAGCCAGCAGGACCATTAGGTATTTGGTCTCTGGGTTACAGAGACTTCTAAGAAATGAGCCAAAAATACTTCTTCTTTATTCGGAATTTTCATTTCTTTATTGTTGCACCATTCAATAATAATACGCGTGTATAGCTTCTCATACCTTTCTTAAGACTTCATTGGCAATAACGCATCTGTATCGCATCCCTATATATTATTATATAGCTGGAAGTTTTTCATCACATTGTGGCAATTCCACTGAATCGAAAATGACAGTAACGCTGTGTCTGATGTCACTTCGACAATTACAAACTTATTTGAGGTTTGATTGGCATGACAACAATAATAGTTTCTCATCAGATCAATCCAGATCTATTCGGGGGAGTATTATAATAATCAATTTTTATTTTTCAATATACCGGGTGACACAGGAGATATGTAGCAGCCTGTAGTTTTTTTATTTGAAGAGATAAAATTTTGAAATTCACAGGGGGTATAAAATAAATGGTAGCGCACTTTACGAACTTAACGACAATATTAAATGTCACCCTGTACATTTCTTCAGTCTATTTTTTTTGTTTTGAAATTCTCTATCCAACCATGTATATCACAAAGTGGCATTTATTCCTTAATTCGCTGTTGAATTGCTTTTTATTCAAAAAGAATAAGTTGGCTGTGACATGAATTCGATGATATATCTACACTTGATAGGCTCTGAAATTCAAATATCATTAGTAAACCGATATTATTCAAAATGTTTTGATATTCTGATCAATGTCTGTAGGTTGTCAATAGCTTGTTTGAGTCAAGATGAAAACCATCGAAAATAACTCATGATATTGAGGAATCTAAGATAGGAACATAAATTTTTTCGAATTCAGCTACTCGTACAGAAACTATCTGTCTTTTATTTTCGCCTTATACCTATCACATGATCTTCCCATTTGGAATAATAAAACTAAAATGGTTCCTCTTATACTATATGATCCACAGGGCTATCAGTCTATTTTTTCATAATTATTTCACTTAGTAGGCGGTGTACCTACACAAAATGTGTTTGACAGTTAATCGATTGCATCAATAATTTTTCTTCTTCATTTGTGTGTTGATTAAAATTGCATATTAACAACATATCGACTTTTTTGTTTCTTGAATACATTTTCCGTCTCTATTGTCTATATAAAGACATAGCCACCTCTCTCTTAATTAACCGGGATACACTGTTCTGATCAGAGATTCGCAAGAATGGTACTCGGTGGTACTTACTTATCAACAACTTGTCATATGCTGTCATGGTCATTTACTAATTATTGAAAATAGTGCTTTCATAGTGACAAAAGGTCCATATTTTGGATTCACAAAACTGAAATGATTGAAATATAATGCTTGTGGTAAAAAAATTTGAGTTGTCTTTTTCCCGGATATATATCACATATATATACACTGTTGATGGCCTTTGTTGTGCTATAGTTCCGAAAAATGAGTCAATAATACCGTCTCCGAGAAAGAACTGCAAGTCCTTTTATCTTCCATTCGACTTCGCGGTTACGTATATTACTAAACAACCACTAAATTCGCAATTTTTTGAAATCAAATCACAGAATTATACTGACACAAGTGACATCAGATATTTGATTACTTCAAAAGAATGATAATGATGCCTGCAACGTAGGTGTCATTGCTGGTGAATTTCACGTCGATAATTTAGTGATTTTAATATAATGTAATATCTTTTGAATATAGATTCGTCCTTTTCCCAGTCACATAAAAAAATAGTGTATTATACACGGAAAAAATATTAGATATTATAGCTAACAGTTTTTTGTCTCGAGCTAAAGTCTACTACTTTTTTTCCCTTGAATAATAAATAACTATTATTCGTATTATCATACAGCAGTAATTCGTAGATATGGATATACCTACACGTCAATACGTCAGTTTCAAAAAAGTTCATCAAAGTATAAGCAGCAAAGGCCAAGACATTATTTAAAATTATAACATTTACAATTACAAATTAAGATTCACACATAGAATGAAAATAATAACATTTACACATATGGATAAAAGAATAACATTTTCACATGAGGTGAAAATAATACAGGCTGACAATTTGAGTAAAAAAACACAAACTGACTATTTCAGGTGTACGCACTACCGATTTCATGCACTATGCCGTTATAAAAAGGTCATGTAATCGAATATCAACTTTCAGATTG